TCTGCCAACAAACCAGAAAAATCAACACACTGAAAACTCGAAAAGACTAGAATGAAGGCTAAGTGAGATAATGTTAGTAAAATTACCCTTCATACTGCATAGTGACAGTGTTACCAATGTCAGCAAACTTGCGATCTTCAAATATGAGAAATTTGTGCTTGTCTGCGATCTAAAGTAACAGTAAACAATGGATCAACGACATATCACTAACCAGTTTAAACAATATCATACATGAGACTCATGCAAATTAAGAAAACAAACAGAGACTGTCAAAGACAAGTAATTACCGCACGGAGTTTAGAGCCAAAGTCAGGGGTGAAATCAGGTAAGATATCAACATGAGTCTTCAATAGACAAATCTCTGGTCCCACCTTCATGAACACAAAAAAAAATTTGAAAGATGTCACCAAAACATAATAATGATTCAGATGAAACGTCTTCAAATTCCGATCGGAAGAATCAAATACAAATGATTCTAACCTTCTCAGCGATGTCAAGCAATTCAGCAGCAGTTCCAACATCAGCAGCTAAGCAGAGATTAGTTTCCTTCTTCAACATAATATCAAACAGCTTCTTCCCCGCCGGATTCTTGGAAAGCTCTGACCTTTCCTTGAACCCTAAAACCCTAGGCTTGGGCTTTGGCTTCTCCTCACTTGGAACACTAACCCTACGGTTCTCTTCCAGAAACTTAAGCAAATTCACTTCAACCTCCTCTTCAATTTTCCCCTTTTGCTTCAAAACCTTAACCATATCCGTCAACTTAATCATCGAATGAAGCGTAATCCCATTCTCCGCAAGATTCTCCCTACCGCCTTGCTGCCTGTCGATCAAAACCACCGCATCGGTAACCTTTAACCCCACAGCACGAAGAGGCGCAACAGTCTCGAGAACAGAGGCGCCACTGGTTACAAGATCTTCGATTATCAAACAATTCTGATCCTTTTCGAAGACTCCTTCAATAGCTTTCGATGTTCCGTAGTCTTTAATCTCCTTACGCCGCATAAGCATGGGGATACCATTGGCGACAGAGACGACGGTGGCGATAGGGAGAGCAGTGTAAGGGACACCACAGACGAGGTCGAAGTTTGTGGAACGAGGAAGTGAAGAGACGAGAGTTTGAGCGATCCGCGTAAGGAGAGGTGGAAAAGAGACGATGAGACGGAGGTCGATGTAAACCGGAGAGAAGATTCCGGATTTCAGCTTGAAATTTCCGAATTTAACGGCGCCGATTTCGTGAAGCTCGAGAATCAGTGCTTCCATGGTTGCTCTGCTGCTTTTTGGTTTCGGATTCGATGGGTTTTGAGAGAGGAGACGGGGACTTCGACTGCACACTCTACTGTGTCGGCTTTTTTATACTTTAGGTTTTGTTTTTTTTTTTTTGGGTTTCTATGTTTTTTTTTTTTTTTTAAACATTAGGAAACTAACTTTGTTGAAAACAAATCATGTAAATGTCTTCGTAAATTGACTCATATTCATCATTTTTATACGTTTATACTAATTTTGCCATATTAATATAAGCTTTCCATTAATTTTCCATAACACCATGAAAGATAGATACTGAATCGTTTAAAATCAAATTGAAGGTTGTCAAATCCCCTAGACATTTAAATTTTCAATCATTTAAAATTATACTTTGTAAGCTCAAATTCAAAAAATACTGCTAAATCAAACAAAATATAGTTCTGTTTTTTTTTTTTTTAATGTAAGAGGAAGAGAACCCTTTTTACTGCAAAAAGATAACAATGAGACAACATGAAAAATCCAAATTGAAACTGAAATCGCCCTAAAAAGGGACATTATTCTTTAACATAAGCATACAACAAGAAGACCTGTACGGTCTTAAGGGGAAACACAAAAGTACAAATGAAGATGGATCATTTCCCATCATCACACAGGTTACTAATGTTACAGATTGTGAGATTAAAGAAAGGGTGTAGTAATCCAATAAACTAACCAACAATGATCATTCATAATCTACATCAAACCAGAAATAGAGGTAAGCCTTAGAATACATGACTCGAACACGCTGCAGAACCAAGTCTCCGCTTGTCGAAACAGCCTTTGCGCCTCCCTCGATCCTTGTCTGCAAAACGGTTACACTATGTCCTTTGATCTTTTCAACAACGGTTTCATCCACTTCTACATGGCCCAAGATATCTTCATCTCCAGCAGTGCTCACGATTGGGTATGAGAGATGATCCAAAGGGTTTGTTTCACATTGCAGCACACATCCATCAATCGTTAGCCTTCCACTCCTATGAAGCAAACAGCAGCCAAGCTCGGCTTTCACTGTTAAATTCGCAAGCTTGCAGGTCGATAGCAACTCCAGGGCACTGCACAAATAACCCAACAAAAAAAGCCGTATACCAAAGATTTTTCTTCGTCATAAAATTTAACTAACACTGAACATGAAGTCACGTCTTTCTTTCTTTTTTAAACCACAATGGGAAATGCCTTAGCAGCAAGTTTTTAAGAAACTAAAACCTTGCAGAAATATTTTCAAAAACAGCTGTAAGAGAGGAAATCACTTCAAGGGAATATGAGCTACAAACCTGTCTGACCCACGAGAGCAGATAAGGGTAGTCTCGTCAGGAATTTCCCCTCCACCAACCTGTACATAGGGAAAATAATATAAAACTGAAACTTATAATGAACATTCGGACTTGTGCATCAACATCATACCATCCATCTATCAAATATGAAGATTATGAGCTCTTTTCAGCCTCAAGGCATAGATTCATCCACTTAACTGAAACTAAAGATACTTATGAGCCATCTCCTAATCTACACTGAGGTATTCTATGATGCGCCTCGGTACAATCCTGATTAAATCACTATCATTCATTTATCTGCAACTCCATCAGCTCAACCTAATTACTACACCAAGCTCTACTTCAATAGCTTTTTCATTATTTACAGCTTACCCTCTTTCCATGTGTTGTCCAATATGAGAAGAGGAACATTACCGAGAGGCAGGGGGCAAATGCACGAAAAGACTTTGAAGTCGAACTGAAAATTCTTTTTCGAGTTCTCACCACAGTCAAGGAATTTTAGTTATCAAGTTCTAATTCTTTAACATTCATTAGAAGTGTCTCAATTACAAACAGCTCCTGCATAGTTTCCAGTAGTGAGATTATAAGTAATTGTGGGCAGGCATAAGTTGTCTTTCATTTTTATTTTGGAACCTAAATGTGGCATTGTTCTCTTCAATGCATATTGATCTCAGATGCTGAGACCTATGGAATGGGTCTCCATCTTCTCATGAAAATAGATATGTGACTTTATGTTCACATGTTCTTCTTTCGATATTAACCATCTACTACATAGATGTTGGTATAGTCAAATAGTATAAATGAACTCAGATAAACTGTTTATCACTTTTGAGACTCCGTTAGAATTCTAAACATTTGTTTGTGAAGAAACATGTGAAAGTAAACCAATTCACATTGGCACTTCTAAAGAAAGTTATGGAAACAAAAGAGATATATCATGGAAATGAAAGAATCTCCATGAATATCAAGAAACTGCACTAGACATATAATCCTTCAAAAACATACCAGGCAAAGAGGCTTTTTAATCTGAATATTAGAAACGTGATGATTCCCACCGGCTCCAATTAAAATGGTATCGCCGGGTCTATAGGTGACAATTTGGTCAGGCTTTTGGATCTTTCTACGAATAATAAAGAACTGTAGAGAAAAATAAGGTAATATCACAAACCTAGCCGCAGCTACCGCTGACTCAATGTTGTGGAAAACTCCAGGCTGGGTTAAATCCTTAGCAAAACGGTCAACACGGAGCCACAAGCGAGGATGACACGCCAGATATCGCCATCTGTGGCAAACGAGGGCTGTGTTATACCTATCTGCAAACTCAGAAGAGATACACAAACTGCACTGAAATAGACTGTAATATACAAAACAAATTCCCAATTCAATCACGCAAACCTAAAAATGAAATCTTCCAAGCTTCACAAATCACAATACAGATCAAAACATAGCCATTCATTACAAAGACAAAAGCTTTCTTGCTAATAGTGTTACATTGCTACAGAGCTGTTGCTACAAAGTCAAGAGGAACGGATCATTCAATTATAGAGATCGAGTGAGATTATAACACGGATTGAATTCAATTATGATTGGATTAGGATCTGTAAAGTCTAAAAGTTGTAAAACTGAGCCATAATTGGTGAAATTCGAATTGAGATCAAATGGGGAGAAATATCACAAACAAACAACAACAATGAAACGATTAAGAGCGGAATTGAACAGAGTAGCATGATGGTATCAGAATCCCCAATTCATAGATGCGAAAAAATGAATTCGAAATTTTACCTGGAATTGGAGATAGGAAGCTGAGGATATGCATGAGGCAACCATCGTCGAGATTGTTAAGAGACGTGAGAGATTCAGGTTTCATTCGCCTCTTCATCCTCGGTGGAGCTGTTTTTTTGGGAGGCCTCTCGTTGTTGAGCTTTGAGATCTCACGACTCTCCATGGCCGCTTTAGGAAGCACGACCCCTATGCCGTCGCCGTCGTTAATATCAGCCGACTCAATTATCAGCTGACGTCACCTCGACATTAATGTGTTCGGTCAATTAAGACTTTGGTTAAGATTGTTTTGCCTTTTTCATTAATGTGTTTATATATTATCTTTAGTACATTTTTTTTAATGCAAAAATTATTAAAAAGAAGAATAACAGTGATCATCAAAACGAAGTACTATTTTTTTTTTTTTTTTTTTTTTGTGAACCACTATAATTTATTCTTTTCTGAAAGTTTGTAACTTTGTATTTATGATTTTGTTTTGGAGTTTTCTGAAAAGTAAAATTAAGGAAAATGGAGGAATCGTGACCGTTGCTTGCTTAGTGCAGTGGACTGTCCAGATGTATTTTGATGAGGCCAAAAAGAATATAGAAAAGGCCCAAAGCACACACACTCTTGTGACAAGACAAGTTCATAAAACCTTTCTCTCTAGTCTCTTCTTCTTCTAACCAGCACAACTCTGAAATCAACAGAGGAAAAATGGAGGTGAAAATGGCCGAAGAAGGGTGCCGTGAAAATGGTGAGTCGACGTTTAACGACGGTACCTACTGCATTTCAAAGACTGTGGACGACGGAGGAGTCGACAGCAAGAGGTTTTACTTGGCTCGCACGACAGCTTTTGAGATGCTTCGTGACAGAGGCTATGAAGTTAATGAAGCTGAGCTGTCTCTCTCTCTTTCTGAGTTTCGTTCTGTTTTTGGTGAGAAGCCAGACCTTGAACGCCTCCGTATCTGCGTTTCTCTTCGCTCAGATCCCAGGAAAAAGGTTTCAGCTTTGATTTTTAACCTCTTTTCCGATTTGGGTGTAAGGTTGTGGTTTGAAATAGGTGAAAATTTGAAAAGTCATCAACTTTTTTCGATTTTGGTTTCCATTTGGTTTTAACGCCTTCGAAGAGAGGAAAATTTGCAAAAGGCTTAAGCTTTTCTCGATTTTGGGTCTAAAGTTTGAGTTTGCTTCAACTTTTTATTTATTTAGGGTTTAACTTAGTTTTAGGTTTGACTTCAAAGAGATGAAATTTTGCCAAAGGTTTCGACTTTTTGGTTTTATGTCACTTTTGAACACCTAAGGTCTGCGGATCATACTTGCGAGAAGCTATAGGGGTTCTTTTTTACTTGTTATATACTTATATGTGCACGGAAGTAAGGGGAAATGAAGTCTTTCCGTTGATGTATGGTTTGGGTTTCGTCTTTTTCTATTGTATTTTGAGCTTTCGGTATGTTTTGGAAAAGCTGAAGGCTAATGGCATATTCATTTTTACCTTGGGGACCAAGAAAATTTGTTATAGCAGTAAGGTCCCTCACATGGTGCTCATGTATGTATCCAATGGAATATATCTATAACTTTATAGTAAGAAATTTTCGGAGCATTTTAAGATTTAGGGTGTCATTTATGGATAGCTAGTTAGTTGAGATGAGAATGTAATCAGACAGTTTCTCATGCTTTATCTGTTTTTCATTAAGCTTATTGAAATGGTTTTATGCAGATCCTTGTTGTGTTCATGGGATCTGAACCAATCACCGTTAAAACAGTTCGTGCTATTCATAGTCAGATTTCGAACAATGTTGGCGTGAGTGCTATGATTCTGATTTTGCAGAGCAAAATGAACCACTTTGCCCAGAAGGAATTGGCAACTTTCCCTTTCACAGTTGAAATTTTCCCGGTAAGTAGTTATCCGTTTTCCTACATGATGAAACATTGATAGCACCGGATTTGGATCCTCATGCATGGCATTGTAATGAGGATCATGAAACTGAGACCTGAATTGGAAATACATAATTGTCTGAACATTTACATGTTAATACTTATTGAATGTACCAACAGATAGGAGATTTGTTGGTGAACATGACAAAACACATTCAGCAGCCAAAGATTGAGATTTTAACCAAAGAGGAGAAAGAACAATTGCTGAGGAAGCATGCACTTGAGGACAAACAGGTTTGTTTCAATTCTGCACAAAGCTTCTTCATCTATTGTGTATCCTGCCTGTTTAATGGATAATTTTTGTTTCTCCTTTCAGCTTCCTTATTTGCAGGAGAGTGACCGCTTCGTCAGATACTATGGGTTAAAGAAAAAACAGGTGGTGAAGATTACATACAGTAATGAACCTGTTGGGTCTTTTGTCACATACCGATGCATCATCTGAAGAAAGACTATATCATTGCAGCTACCACAAGTTAAATTAAGACACTCCTTCTCTTTCCTATTTCTCCTGAAAATAGCAGTTTATTTGTCTGTCCTTGATGTTTGCTTACAATTCTAACAAGAGATGGATTTTGGTTTTGAATGAGGAAAATTTTAGCAAACTACACGAGTTTTCCAAAATGTAGTTGTCATGGAGGTACGTGTAAAAATACATCTAATTACAAGAATAAGAGCTTCACAAGAAAGGAGCAATGATGAGATTGTTTCAGTAGTCGCAGAGCGATGTTATCAAGTCTGCCGAAATTCCAACGCTTTTCTCTAACATGGCAACCTAAACTGATTAAAAACAAAAAGCAACAGCTGGGTATTAGTTACCAATAAATCCGCAAGCTCTATGAATGTATATAAAAGGGCATGGACGCAATTTACAGAGATAAGGAATTAAATAACCTTATAAATTTCACAACTTTCTTTTGTTTCCTTGGGGTTCTTCAACATCCCTCTCACCAACAGTAATACTTGATCCAGAGTTCGGTGCATTCCCCAATGCAAGTGAATCTGTAGGTCCTTCTTCCTCTTGAGCTTTCTGCTTCTGTAAGCGACTCTCTCGTACGTTGCATTTAGGGAAATCCCCTTTTTCTTCACTTCCCATCTTCGAAGAAGCAGGTGATTCTGGTCCTTCCATATGTTTTGCCACCAGCATATCAAAAGGCCTATGAAAGAGCAAATGAGCCACAGTTCTGTCTGTGGGATTGGTCACCGCCTCTGTGTCTGGCATCCCAGCATATCTGTATCAAATACAAGAGCCAAGCTATGTAAACCACAATTTGATATTGATACTGAACTCGGTAAATTTTATAAAAGGTTTAAGCCACATGTACAAAAGTGTATGCATGTAGTTTACATTATCTAAATACGAAGTATACCATATTGATTAATATGCGCAGACTTCTTACCTATAACTGGAATCTTCTCTGGGAATAACATCCTGGTCATCCTTGCTAGTCTTGTTACTATGGGCTGTACCATTTGTGTAGTGTCTCTGAGCTGCGCTACCAGCCAACCGGAATAAGCTATCCCGTATACAAGTCCTTGTTCCCATATCCAACTGCAGGACAAGAAAGAGTATTAGTTACTCCCACATAAAGCTCACCTACAAAGTACCGTAGGATTATGTGCGTCCTTATTCATAACAAGCCAATCAACCATTTGAGTACCTTTGCTACAACATCCTGGAGCCGATAAAGAACTGAGAACTCCGCTGAATTATCAACAGCAGTAGTAAAATTGCCAGAATCATTTTGTTCCAAAGATGAATTAGGATCAAAGGAAGGCATTGTAGTTATCCCTTGGAGATTAGTTTTGTCGACAAGCTGGAGTGAAATATCTTGGCGAGAATTCTGTGTAATGGATTGATCTACTACAGGCACCTGATGAGAAAATTGCTGCTGTTGTCTCTGAATTGCAAGCATTGCCTGCATTTGCTGTCTGCGTCTAAGTTTTTCTAGTTTTTCCTGTGGTGTCATTGTTGAAGGCCGAGGAGAGACATCTGTTGCCATTTTTACGGAGGTAGCAGTAGGAGGTTCGTAGGAAGGATGCATCAACTGATTCTTAAGATCAGGATGCTGAACGGACGAAAGTACAGGCACACTGGAAAATGGATTTGTAAGATTACCAAATGCAGAAGTAGTCATGTATTGGTTTGGCATATGTGAATAATGTGATGTCACATAACCTTCAGACTCCCTCTGCAGATTAACAGCCATCAAAGAGGATCGTGGCGGTGCCAACTGATTTACAAATTTTCTAGGTGAATTCCTGGAAGGAGTCCTCTGATTGTACTGATCTTGAAATGCCCCTGCCTCTGAACTCCCAGACATATTTGTAAACTTCATCATTTTATTTTGTTGATATGGCTGGTCAGAAAAAGGAAATGAAACGAAGATGGTTCAGTGGAGCTGTATTAAAAGGCCTAAGAATTTGAAGACCTAAGTCATGCTACCGATCTCCATTGACAGAAACTATGTACATACTTTCATTCACTTTATCATAAACGTATGAGCAATATGCAGCAGTCTGCTAAACATAGTACCTGGTGTTCAACTGAGGATTGACCCTTGTGCTCACGATATTGCTCAGCCTTTAGGGTTACATGTACACTCGGCACACTTTGGGATGAAAGACCATTGGCATTTCCAGCCAACGGAAATTGGTGGTTCCCTTGTTGCTCAAACTCAGTTCTAATATCCAGTCCTAGATCTTGAGAGTCTAAAATTGATGATAATGATTTTGGACTATTGGATACATCTTTAGAAGAAGACCACAACTCATCAGCACCACTGAGACTGCCATCGCCAAATATAGGGACATCATTGCTGCAAAATCATCACTTGTGAGGATATTGTGTTAGATGGAAGCTGATGTGCATATGTAATCTTCTTTGATGTAAAGAAATGTATATCTCAGACAAGGTGAAAAAATATCAAAACACGGAAAAAAACATTAGTGGAGCTACAATCGAAGCAAATTGACATAATTTTCAAATAAGTTGTACACGTGAAATAAGGCAGCTAGTATTTTTGTTAATAATGTCACCTAATTCCTTCAAACATGATAGCATGTCTGTTCTTGAGAATATTGTAACGAATTCAATATGATACGTGGAAAAAAAGAGTAAGTCATTGAAAAGTTACCGCATAGCTCAGTCATGATGAGAAATAGTTTTACCTGAACATTCGATCAAGATCATCAAAACTACCAATGTTGGCCCAGCCGTACTCATCAAAATCACCTTGCTCTTTACTCTCATCAGTGCTATGAAAAATATCGGGGCCTTTCCCAAGTTCAGACGTTTTCTCTGGTAAAACAGGGTGAGCACACAACTTTAAAATGATTAGATTGGAAATAACGTACCCAAGCAAAACATCACTGTTTCAAGAAACGCACCACCTCTTGATGAATCATGTTTAGCTGGCTCAGCTAAGCATTTTGAAAGTTCAGTTGCACTCGAATCTGTATCATCTTTTCTGGCATTAGATAGCGACGAGTCCGGCCATGAGGTCATACAGAAATCTGGCTGAGGAATCCCGTCATCGACATTATGGCCCGAAGTGCTCCCCAATATATCATCATCTTGGATTTCAGCTGTAGTCCCAGTTATCTTTTGCTCAGCCGGCTTAGCTGTCTTAGATTCGTCACTCTGTTCCTTCTTGTTAAGTTGTTCACTTCTTACTTTAAAAGGTACAATATGGTCGCCTGTCTCACCGTCATCAGCCCATATCATATTAGTTAGCTGAAAAATAGGTTAAGACAATTAACAAAAGGGATCAGGCACAAGCAAGTAACGGCATTTACATGAGACCAATACTGAAGGAATATAGAAAAATGTAAGAACATGATCAAGAGCATTGACACACAGGCGCATCTAATGCCACAAGATAAAACTGAGTGATCATTCAAAAGTGAAATTTGACTATAACAGAGACTGTGTCAAGGAAAATAAACAGGAAGTAACACAAAATGCTAGCGTAGTCATCTTCCAAATGATTAGCTCCTTATCATAGCCTGACTGATTATTAAAAAGTAACTTTTGACTATAAACAAAACCAAGATAAGAGAGGTATTGATCCCTGTGATAGACTGCGTCAAATAAAAAAGGCAGGAAGTAGGAAAATCAGCTTCTTCACAAAGCATATTATCCCCATAGGAAAAAATCTTGCCAAGCTCTCCAAGAAATAAAATACCAGACTTGGACTTCATCGAATTCTATGCTCAGCCTCTTCTACCACACTCTAAATTCAAACTACCTTCGAGACAAGCTCAGATCTTTCACTGAGTTAATAGGCTCCAAAATTCAAGCTATGTCTCGTAGTCATACTTATACATACACATAAACATAACAGAGAAGGGCACTTGAGACCCAAAAAATCATTCGAAGAAGATGCAAACAAGCAGGAAGACACTAGTGAGTTTTTTATGAAAAAAAAATACAGAATTATACTGATTCCACATAAAAAATGAAACTAGATGTATAGCAAAAGATGAAAACTTTACCTCGTCTTCTTCCCAATCAAACATTATTCGAGAAACAAATTCGAATCACAGACCCAAAATGAAGCTCTTTGATTGCTCCACACATCGCCGACTCCACCAAGCAAAAAACCAAAAAATTCAGAAAAAACAAAAAAAAAACAAAGATTAACAAGTCGGATAAAGTAAATCCTTACAATAATAAAATAAAAATAAAAATACAGATTAAAAATAAAATGAAGATAAGCTGAAAAGGAAGAAGCTTTCTCAAAAACCTTGATTCAGAATCCTTTCTTCATGTGATATGGGAAGAGAAAGGAGGAGTTACACAGTAGACAAAGAAGAAGAGTTTTTTTTGTTCTTTTTTTTGGAGGAGGAGGAGGACTGAGGAAAAGTCACGTGCCAAACGAGTGGCCGAGAGAGCATGAGACGCCACGTCAGACGAGGAGGCGTATCTAAAGATGTGGCTGAGATTAACTTAACCATTAACTACGACTTTGATTCCAATTCCATGACAGCACATATTTTTGACTTTCCCTGGCTGTGGTCTTTTTAATACTCTGTATGTTTTATCGGATTAGTGTTCGAGGAAATAGGAGACACATATAATATTTGAGTTTCTGAAATTTATTTTCCTATTTGGGTAAATATGTTTTTTCTTATTTGATTTTTTTTTTTGCTTAACAAGAACGAGGTTCAACTTTTAGATTTGGTGGGGTGTAAGTTCATACAGACCACAATTTTTTAGACTAATAAGCTTTTTGTTGATATGATATCCCATCCACCCACCTTTAAAACTTTTATAAAGTATATACTTGGATCAATTTGTTTCAAAAGAAAAAATAAAAATAACTAGTCATGTGTGTTATCCATAACAGGGCTACGATCGATTATAATAATCTCGTCCTATTTAGTACGTGGGTTTGGTCCTTGTAGAATATGTTGGAAATTATAACATGTTTATAATTATGTGTTTGTTTATCTTGTTTCATCCTGTAGTTTGTTGTATATTTTATCATACATTATATGAAAGCGGGTTTTCTGGTAGAGATTATTCTCGTTTCAAGATTGATCATCACGAGTTACGTTAGACATTAATTTAGCGTAATTTAGCCAGTACTACAACAAGTGTCATATTCCTTTCATTCAACAGTTAAACTCCAAAAATTTCATGATTCCTTATTCCTACCATTGATTTTCCCAGTAATTCCATAATTTTTTGGTACAACACTTGTTGTGTCATGTGTGTGTGTCAGTTTGTTGGTCTGTTGGAAAACAATTCCATAAAAATAGTAGTAGAAATATCCTTTTTAATTAAGGAGATGCAAGAACTCAATATGCTAGTTTGGTCGAGGTGTAATCTTGAATAAAAAGAAAAGGAGACAGATGCGGCGTGGAGGCTTTGTGTAATACATGCAGCAGCAAAAGGAGGGCCACGTGACATCACATCATGTGTGACTCTCTGTTTTCACACAGTCAGAGAAAAGAGAAGAGATGACACCGGAGAGCTTGATAGCTTCGGCGTCCATCAACATAGGTCTCGCCCTCGTCGCACTCTGGCTCTTCTCTGTCCTCAAGAAGCAGCCTCGCAACGCCGTCGTCTACTACGCTCGCCGCCTCTCCGATCGCCACCGTCCTCTGTCTCTACACTCTTCCCTTTGCCTCCCTCGTTTCCTCCCTTCCGTCGCCTGGATCCCACGCGCCCTTCGTGTCCCCGAGGAAGACATCCTCACCCGCCACGGCCTCGATGCACTCGTCCTCATCAGGCTCTTCAAATTCGGGTGACCATTTTTGTCTTATCATATATATATATATATATCATGTGATCATCGATCTCGCCTTTAAACACTATTTCACATTGTCATAAGCCCTGGACTCTGGTCTTTGAAATATATATTGCAGAATCAGATTCTTTCTGTTGTGTTCGTTACTTGGAGCGTCGCTGCTTCTTCCGGTTGATTATTACAATGAGTCAGATTTACCAACGCGAAGAGAGTATTCGATGGATGCTTTCACAATATCAAACATCACACGAGGTTCTAACAAGTAAGCCTTTTCTTTTTCTATTTATGTCTTGATTTGCATAACCTTCCTTAGAGTTGTTTTCTTGATATCTGTCTTAATCTTCCTAGGTTGTGGGTGCATTTCTCTTGCTTGTGGTTCATTTCGTTCTATGCATTGTTTTTGCTGCATAAGGTAAGCTTTTACTACTGTCTATCATGACGACATACTTCCAAAAATCTGGCTTGGATTCTGACTACAAATTGATCATCTATCTATACCTGGATCGGATTATTTTCTTATAGAATAGGTTATTTACTGGATCCTCCCCATCTAGGAATACAAGGAGATTCTTGTGATAAGGCTTCAACAAATGAGACAACTTAGGCATCGTGCTGACCACTTCACTGTTCTTGTCCGCCAAGTTCCTCTCTGTCCGGAGCATAACACTCGTGCCTGCGCTGTTGATCACTTCTTCTCTAAGCACCACCGCTTCAGCTATCACTCATATCAGATGTTGTACGATGGGAAAGATCTTGAATACCTTTTGGTAAGGTTTGACAGTGGTGGTATCGCCCCTTTTCCATCCCCAGGCCATGCAATTCTTACTGTTGCAGCGGGTTTTTTTTTCCCTGGAAACTTGATGGTGGAATCCTTTATGTAGGGGAAGCAGAAGAAGCTTAAGAAAGAGCTAGAAGACAAGAGACGCACAGATATGCTTTCAAATGGATCACAGGAACATAAGCAAATATCCACATCTGAAGAAAAGCTTCGAGAAATTACCAATATGATTTGCCACCTTCAGAATGGAACTATGCTCAGAGAGAAGGTACTCTTTCTTGTGGTCATAGTTGATGGTTAACAAAGTTATGTGTTTTTTTTATCTTAGAATTCTAACGCACTAGCATTTTAGGCTACAACATTGTTCTTGTATTCAAAACTAGAAAACTGTGATCCTAGAATTATAGTGGCTTGCATGAATCCTGAATAGTAGTTCTATGAGGATAGTAACATCTAAATGGTCTAAAACTCTAAATGAACTTCCAAAACAAACTAAAGCGAGAGACTGTATGAGGAAGCTTGACCAAAACAGAGTAGTGTGCTGAACTTGGCATAGTGTCATTTGTCAGTGACAGGTGCTACATAATAAAAGAATCCACTGAATTTTCCCCTATATATATGTAGATGTGCAGCATGATGATGAATTACCTGTTAAGATACTAATACCGCTACTATACTGTGCATAATTTCAATGTAAGGAATTACCTGTTGCGTTTGTCACCTTCAAATCCCGAAGAAGTGCAGCGTTAGCAGCTCAAACACAGCAGCACTCAAATCCTCTAGAACTGATAACTGAAATGGCTCCTGAACCAAGAGATGTATCCTGGAGAAATCTTGCTATACCACAAAAGATATTGCCTCTCAACAAAATTGGAGTCATCCTTGCAGCAGCACTTCTTACAATCTTCTTTGCTATTCCAGTCACAGCTGTCCAGGGAATTGCAAAGTATGAGAAGCTTAAGAAATGGTTTCCTCCAGCCATGGTTATTGAATTCATGTAAGGGATTTTCTCACCTCTTTCACTATTATTGTTCTCGTAAAGTAACAGATTGTTTTGTTTCTTGATTTTATAATAATAAGGTAAGTTTGTTATTTGAACAGACCAGGACTTAGCTCAGTTGTGACAGGGTACCTCCCAAGTGCAATACTCAAAGGTTTCATGTACATAATTCCTTTCGCTATGCTTGGAATGGCCTATCTTGGCGGCTCTATTTCCAAGAGCAAGGAGGAGATCAAAGCTTGCAATATGGTATTCTATTTTCTAATGGGAAATGTTTTTTTCTTGACTCTCATCTCTGGTTCCTTGCTTGATGAAATTGGAGAATATCTCACTCATCCTAGAGACATTCCTAGTCACCTTGCTGCTGCTGTTTCAGCTCAGGTAAATCTTATTATACTCTCTTCTTGTATATTTCAGTTCCAAATCAGACCAAATGTTCTTCACAATAGTAACAGTTGTCTTACTTGCTTTATATATGTAGGGAGAGTTTTTCATGACATACATCTTGACAGATGGACTGTCTGGATTTTCTTTGGAGATTCTTCAGTTGGGACTTATACTATTTGATATCATCAGATCCTACACTTACGGAAGAGGAAAAGAGAGAACCCCTTACCTCTTTTCATTTCCATATTTTAGAGTTATCCCCACAGTTTCCTTATCGATAATGATCGGTATGATTTATGCGGTGGTCGCACCGTTGATGCTCCCTTTCCTAGTTGGATACTTCTGCCTTGGGTACATTGTCTACTTCAACCAGGTACAGAGGTTTTCTAAAACCTGATTAATTTTCACACATGCTACTTTGCATTATATTAACTCTGGTGTCCTCACTCCTCAGATGGAAGATGTGTACGAGACTACTTATGATACTTGCGGTCAATTCTGGCCATCTATTCATCATTATATATTTGTATCAATAATACTTATGCAAATCACAATGGTGGGTCTTTTTGGGCTAAAGTCAAAGCCATCTGCAGCAATTGCTACTGTACCTCTCATACTGATCACTATCGCTTATAATGAGTACTGCAAGATCCGCTTCCTCCCATCATTTAAACATTTCCCTATTCAGGTATTATTTTATCAACTTTTTAACTTTTCTGAGGAAAATTATAGATAGATTCAGCTCTTTGAGACGGTTGAAATGTAAATTTGGAGAGTATCTACATTGTTGTTGTGGTGTAGACTGCAGTTGAAATAGACGAAGAAGATGAAAAGAACGGGGAAATGGAAGCGCATTGTGTTGATGCTGCAACGGCTTATAACCAGCACCAACCTTGCTTAGAGCGTGTAAAAATCTCAGACGAATCAATAACGAACTTGAGCCATCCATTGCTTGGAACAGAATCCATCTGAAGCTGGAGGTGAGCTAGTTAGTATTCTAAATAGATCATAGGATTTTGAAGCTTTCCACGTACGTTCTCATGTAATAATCAATTTGCTTTAAAACATCTTGTGTGATCCTTTTTCTAGATATAAATATCTTTCTTTCAACCATTGATATGTTACAACCTTGTTAAACAAATTTTTCTAGCCCTGTGATTATAGCTAAAGTTTAAGTTTACTGACAATGGTAGTGGACAGTTTAACAAAAGCAGAGTTGAACCCGCGAGCCAAAATAATACAGCGAGAAGAAACAATGCAAATTGATCATTAAAATTCTAGCGGGACGTATTACAAGCTTACAAGTTACAACGCCTCATGTATTTTTCTTCAAACCTAGAATATACTTCTTTTCTTCATCCCATTTTCCGCATATCCATTCACATTTTTTCTCTAGGTGCCTGATCTTTTCCTCGTGGCCATTATCAGTCCAGATCCTTGTCTCTCCCCATGTTTCTTTTCCAAGCTTTTTGATTACCTTTGCCAGAAGCTGTTGGATAGCCAAGATCATTTCGTTGATTAGTTTTAAATTTTAAGAAAGTAGACAATTAAACAAAAGTCTTTAAGAGTAAAAAGGAGGAAAGGGACATGATTTTGGTTACTTTTATTTCCATCTCGATAGATGTTTTCAAAGTGTCCTGACTTGTTGTGTTGTTGACAAGTTCACCATTGGCAATAATAGCTTTCTCCCTCAACTTCTCTGTGTCTTTAAATCTCCTCAGTAGATCATGTACTGTTTTGCTGTTGCTACCTTTTGGAATTCTACTTTGACTGTATTTGAACTGATTAATTTGTAAAATGGTAAAGTAAGTATAAAGGCCAAATGAAGATATAAACTAAAGACTATTAAAGGAACAGCAATAGCACCTCCCAGTTTATTTTCGTGAGATGGATTGTTTCTTGACTCAGGTCACTGTTTTTCTGATGGCTTGGTCTTTCTTCTATCTGTTGCAGTATCCTCTTTTCCTGGGCCAAGCTTTTACAACTGTGCAGCACTGAGGCTTGCTTGCACTAAGACAGGAGGGTAATTACTCTCTTTTCTTTGTTTGTATAGTGAAAAACAAAATGTTATTGATTTGTTTATGAGAACTTACGTATTCAGGCATTTCTGTTCCTCTTGTTGTTTCTTCTGCTTTATTCATTTTGTCAAGATTATTCTGCAGTTGATCTCGCAGCTTCTTGTAATATTTGATAGAGTTTCCAGCCTGGTCACTGCGATAGTTAGAATGTTTTGCCTCAATGTAGAACCTATACCTGTTTGACTGCTCAAAAAGTTTCATTATCTTGTATAAACTGATCTAATAAATAAGCTTTTAAGAAAACAGTACAAGTAGTCATTGTTCTGTTATATTTAGATGCTTACTCGCGCTTCTATGTAATTCTCGTAGGTGTGTTGATAATCCCTCTCGAGCTTTTTGAGTCGCTTCTCTGCTTTGGAAACTGACATGTGCACAGCCGGATCAGCTTCAGGTGACACCTTGTCATGGTTATATATCTCTAAACCCTTTTCATCATAGCTACCTCCAATACCAATAGAATTGGAGATTTTGAGCTGAGTAGAAGCTTCCATGCCACTGATTTTAAGAAGGTCCAAAGCTGATCCTAAGTAAGTATCAAGCATTGCTCTTTTGTGTTCTTATAGGAAAATCATAGTTTGAATGAAGCAACCTATGACAATTGATTATCCAAACTCGTGCACCCCACGCCAAGTAAGTCAATGGCTCCTCCTCGAAGAAATCTTCTTTTATATATTGTATACTTTAGCCATCTATATTTCGTTTTTTTCAGCGATAAGATGATGTCTTTATTAAAAAAAATATTGGAAAGAATAAACACCCGGAGGCATAAAATGTAAAGAAATGCTTGAAGTCAATGTGTTCATATGAAACAGAGGAAGTCATAGTTTTACCAAAAGCCACACCACCAAAGTCAATGGCTGTGGTCAAAAGGATACAAGGAATGATTACTAGTCTGATACGTTAATTTGATAATATGGTAATTATTAGTTAGAGATTCGCTTGTGTTGGTTAACAGCTTCAGATATAGTGTAATTATATGGAAAAAACAGAAAGTCATAGTTTGATCAAAGCAGCTTTAGATATCACATCATATGTAAGAAGGCTTCTAAGTTTATTCTAATGATATATATGCTAGTTGTTTATAAGGATTTCTCTGTTCATAGTCATCATGATCCAATATATATAGCGAGAATGTTGAAGCGTATTTCAGAATAACTTGGGTGATTACATTGATCTGGCAAGGAAATATTGTAAAATGAATCTTATAAATGATAGGTGTATCACAGAAGGAATCATCAACGTGATTTTACAACATGATAAAGATTTGTTTCTGAAGCTCTCTGAAGTTACCCTTTTCTGCAGCCTTTTCTTTGTGAAGCAGTTTTGTGGCTCGACCTGAAACTTTCCTTCAAAACAATCAAGTATTTCTTCTCTGCATCACGTTTCTCACCTATGCATTTACATTTTTCCTGTAGAACCCTCATTTTATCCGTGTATCCTTTTTCATGCTTTCTTGCAAAATGTACTCTGTCTTGCAAAATGTCCTCCATCTCCTTTTTCTCTTTCTCAAATTCTCTGATTACCTTCGTCAGAAGCTAGTGGCAAACAAACATCATCACATAATTTCTTAGTTCTAAGAAACAATCCCATGAGGAAAGTGGAAAGAATGTGCTTTGAATCTTCCATTACCTTTATTATGACACTTTTAGAACTTATCATATTGTCCAAACTCGTGCGGTTGCTCATGAGTGCACCATTGGAAATAGCCTTTTCTGTCAACTTCTGTGTCTCTTTAATTTCCCTCAACAGATCAAGTATAGATTTCTTGCTGCTATTCTGTGGAACTATTCTCTGAATGTATCTGAACTGGTTTTATCATAAGATGGAGAAGTAAATTTTGTTAAAAGCTCATTTATGATAATTAACTAAGAGGATTTTCAGTAGGAGTAGTGGTACCTCCTCCTTAATTCTTTTGAGGTCAATTGTTTCTTGGCTCAGTCCATCAGTGTATTGCTCTTTGTTTTCAGCTTTTAGCTGCTGCAGTACCATCTTTTCTTGTGCCAAGCTTTTACAACCGTGCATCAAGATGAATTGCTTTCCCTAAACCAGTATAAATGACACCGGAAACTCATGAAAAATACATTTTAAGATTTACTAAACTATGATCAATGCTTCAGTTTCGTTTCCTAGGTTTGCTAGAAAAAACTGATCTATGTGAAAAACAAAATGATACTGAATGAGTGTGAGTAACTACATACGTTTGTAGGTGGTTCTCTTCCGGTTTGTGATGATGCTTCTTCTGTACTCAGCTTGTCAAGAACATTCTGCAGTTGCTCCACTAAATGTTTGCTATGATAGATACAGTAGCCAACCCAGCGACTGTGGTGGCCTGGATGTTGAAAAACAACGTAGTACATATACCTGTCTGACTGTAGATAAATTTGATTATCTTGTAAAACTAACCCTATAAGTTTCTAACAAGATTTAGATATTAATCACTTTTTATGCTATGTATTGATGCTTACTTGTAGTTCTGTGTACTTCTCATAGGTGTGTTGATAATCTTGCTCGAGCTTTTGCAGTCGCTTCTTTGCTTCTGAAAACGAAGAACTCCCAAATGGACCAGAGCATGTTGACACCATGTTGCAGGAAAGTTTCTTGGATCCTTTTTTAGCTAGTATAGTTGCATCCAGTACCAACAGAGAGGTAAGTTTTGTTTTGAAAGTAGAAGTTTAATTCCTGACCTTTGGCTTCTAGTTTCTTCTAATATAGCTTCTGCTGAGTGTTATATGTATTATTAGCAAGCAAGTTTGTATATGAAAGCCTTGTTCTCTTGTGTTGTTATATAAAGAGAAAAGAACATTGTTAAAATTAAAAAAAAAAAACATCTCATAATGATTATGCAAACCCTTGCACCCCACTCCTAGAAAAGTCAATGGCTTAAATAGTTTGGCCATCTGTCTCTTCTTTGAAGCATATAATATCATCTACTGATCTACTTGAGGCATAAAATACAAAGAAATGTGTTAAACAATGGAATGTGATTATATGATTGGGATTCTGATAAGTCTTCAAACTAACAGACTGTAATTAAGAGATCTCCCTCAGCTCCTTAAGAACCCATCTCTTGGTAAGATTTAACATTGTTACCATTAAAAAAAATCCCAAGCTCTTGGGAAGATTTCATCTCAATTTCAGGATTTTTTGGCCTAATGAATCATAGAAATATACATAAGATGCATTCACAAGAAGTCTGAATCCCAATGACAAGACTTAAACATGTATCGAATATGTGAAGCATGGTATTCATTTAATACCTTAAAACATATATCAAATATCTGAGAGAGAGAACCTTGTGATCGCATGCATGCATCAAAGAGTAGAAGCAAGAACCTCGTTTAAAACATACAATATATGTCATAGGGACATGATTAAAGTCTTGGTTGTGTAATCCTCGATTTTTTCTTTTTAACTAATAAGAAGTTTAGAACTGTTGTTGAATATATAGATCAGGCCCATACATTTAGGCCCAAGTGTTATATGGAAAAAAGAGAGAGAGGCGATTCTATTTCTCTTTCTCTCTCTGCTTGCGCTCACACGCACGAGCTTCATTCTCCTTCTGTATCGTTCAGCTACGCAATCTCTTCTCACTCGGTAAAACTCCATATTCTCCCCTTTAATATTTTGTGGTTTTAGACATGTAGCGAGATTGAATTTCCGATTGATTTTTATCAATATTGGGATCAATTTCTCGTTTGCGTTTTTGGGATTTTGATTTTCTTAGAGTTTTGCTTATTTGACAAATTAAACCTTTTTTTTTTTTGTGGGACGAACACTAGTTTCATTCAGTTACTGGATTCTGGGGATTAGTTTTGTTCAATATTTTGGTAATTAATCCGAATCCTTTGATATTTTTTGTTGAAACAGCTCCCTAATTGTGTCAGACCAGACAAGTGATTAGATGGTAAAGGATTGAAATTGCTTTGAAAACGCATCAGATTTTGTTTATTTGAATATATTATTTCTGGGTTTTAATAAAGTTTTCAGCTTTAGCTTTTTCTTTTGTGACCATTGTCAAGTGAAAACCCTAATTTTGGGATAGCTCTGTTATCAGATGATTTTGGGAGTTTTCTCGAATTAGGTTGTTAGATAATTTGATTACTCGTTGTTGAATATGTATGTAATTAAACTTTTTAGTAAATAAAATCCTTAATTTTTTAATATGGTTTTCATAACTTACCAACTTCTTTCTTTTATATGGTTTTCTGATTTCAGATACAGGTTTAAATGGGTAAGAAGAAGTCGGACGAGGGTGCTCCTACCACGAAGGTGAAGCCAAGTGGTAAAGATTCTAAAAAAGAGAAAGTATCAGTCTCGGCCATGCTTGCAGGCATGGATCAGAAAGATGAGAAACCCAAGAAGGCCTCATCATCTAGAACCAAGGCTGCTCCAAAAGCTACATCCTACACTGATGGCATAGATCTTCCTCCTTCTGATGAAGAAGACGAAGGTGAATCTGATGAGGAGCAGAGACTCAAGGATGAAAGGAGGAAGCAGAAGAGCGAACAAAGGCACCTTGATATCTCTGTGACTGATAAGGAACAAAAGAAACGAGAGATGAAAGAAAGAGTAGCCCTCCAAGCTGCAGAGATGGCTAAGAGGGAAGCCTTGAAGGATGACCATGATGCATTCACGGTTGTTATTGGAAGTAAGACCTCAGTGCTTGAAGGAGACGACACAGCGGATGCAAATGTTAAAGATATTACAATCGATTCTTTTTCTGTCTCTGCTCGGGGTAAAGAGCTTTTGAAGAATGCTTCGGTCAAGATATCACATGGTAAAAGGTATGGGTTGGTCGGGCCAAATGGGATGGGAAAGTCTACACTGTTAAAGCTTTTAGCTTGGAGGAAGATTCCAGTGCCGAAGAATATTGATGTTCTTCTTGTTGAGCAAGAGGTGGTCGGGGATGAAAATAGTGCTCTGAATGCAGTTGTATCTGCTAATGAAGAGTTGGTTAAGCTACGGGAAGAGGCTGAAGCTCTGCAGAATTCGTCATCTGGAGCTGACGGAGAAAATGTTGATGGCGAGGGTGATGATGATGATACTGGAGAAAAGCTTGCTGAATTGTACGACAGGCTGCAAATTTTGGGGTCAGATGCTGCTGAAGCACAAGCATCCAAAATTCTTGCGGGGTTAGGTTTCTCTAAAGATATGCAAGTGCGTCCTACTCAGTCTTTCAGTGGTGGCTGGAGGATGCGAATATCGTTAGCTAGAGCTCTGTTTGTGCAACCTACTCTTTTGCTGCTAGATGAACCCACTAACCATCTTGACCTGAGAGCTGTTCTATGGTTAGAGGAGTATTTGTGTCGCTGGAAGAAGACATTAGTTGTTGTCTCACATGACCGGGACTTCCTCAACACAGTCTGCACGGATATAATACATCTTCATGACCAGAATCTTCACTTCTATCGTGGTAATTTTGATGGTTTTGAAAGCGGATATGAGCAGCGTCGCAAGGAGATGAATAAAAAATTTGATGTCTACGAGAAACAGATTAAAGCAGCTAAGAGGACTGGAAACCGAGCTCAACAGGAGAAGGTAAAGGACAGGGCCAAGTTTACTGCAGCAAAAGAAGCATCAAAGAGTAAGGGAAAGGGTAAGGCACTGGATGAAGAAGGCCCAGCACCAGAAGCTCCAAGGAAGTGGAGAGATTATAGTGTGGTCTTCCACTTTCCAGAACCAACCGAGCTCACTCCTCCGCTTCTGCAGTTAATTGAGGTTAGCTTCAGCTACCCCAACAGGCCAGATTTCAGGCTCTCGAATGTTGATGTAGGTATCGATATGGGGACAAGGGTTGCTATTGTTGGGCCTAACGGAGCAGGAAAGTCCACTCTATTAAATCTTCTTGCGGGAGATTTAGTTCCAACCGAGGGTGAAATGAGAAGAAGCCAGAAGCTGAGGATTGGCAGGTATTCGCAGCATTTTATTGACCTGTTAACGATGGGGGAAACACCGGTTCAGTATCTTCTTCGCCTTCATCCTGACCAAGAGGGGTTTAGCAAGCAAGAGGCGGTGCGAGCGAAGCTAGGCAAGTTTGGGCTACCAAGTCACAATCACTTATCTCCAATTGCGAAATTGTCTGGAGGACAAAAGGCTAGAGTTGTGTTCACCTCGATCTCAATGTCAAAGCCACACATATTGCTTCTGGACGAGCCTACAAATCACTTAGACATGCAGAGTATAGATGCTTTGGCGGATGCACTAGATGAGTTCACAGGTGGAGTTGTGTTGGTAAGTCATGACTCGAGACTCATATCGCGTGTCTGTGCGGAAGAGGAGAATAGTCAAATCTGGGTTGTAGAAGACGGAACGGTGAATTTCTTCCCAGGTTCATTTGACGAGTACAAAGAAGATCTCCAAAGAGAAATCAAAGCAGAGGTTGATGAGTGAAGTATTGTTGTTGGCTTATGAGGTAATCTCAAGCTCCTTTATGTTTTTTATAAGACACTCGAAAAAGTTTTGGACAATTTTATTTAAGCCATTGTGTTTTTATCATCTGTGCGTTAGTTACATGACACTATATACATCGGTCTCCCCTTATTACATGTCTCAGTGTAGTGTTATGTTTTATTGTTTTGGGGAAGAAAACAGAGGACATGTTTCATTCTTTTTCATCAGTGTGTTTAATTAGAGTCGTAATAAACAGCAAAGTTTGAAATTTTGTTTAATATGACTCTTGTTTACTTTTAGGCTCTCGTTATTTTTGACAGTCATCTCGTAAAACTGTTATAGAGTATCTGTGGTTTTTGATATTGGAGTTTCATTTTCCAGTGTGCCACTAATTTGTCTCAACGACGCAATATCTCGCTTTCCTCTGTTTTAAAACACAACACTCTCTGTTCCAATGTCTTTCTCTGATGTTTTTGTGGTTCTCGTTAATGTTTTTATATCACCAGAGAGTGTTGGCTTTCAGTTTTCTCTGATGTCTTATCATCCATCTAACTTGTATTTTGGTTTTCCAACATTAGACAATACAATATTTAAGGTGAGGACACAATCTCTTCCTAAATATTTATTGGTCTCTATAAATTACTTTGATTTATAATAATATTTTTATTCAATTTAATTGCATGCGATGAAAATAAACAAATTCACCAAAAAGGACTGGTTTCTTCCACAAGGATCAGAAGAAATTTTCAAAAATAAACTTTAAAAAAAAAGGAGGGTATGATCCTTCAAAAAATCATACCCTTAAACAAGAAAAATATAATTATAAAGTCTTATTATTATTCAGAAATTAAGAAGGTATTTCAAGGTTGGACCGCAGCAGCAGGAGCAGCGGCTCCACTGGTTTCTCCTTGAGTTTGCTTAGCACGATCATAAGGACACACCCATTTGGTTAACACGTACTCTGCTCTCCTCCATGGTGGCACTGATAGCCCTTTCTTCGTCAGGCTCTTCTTAGCAGCTTTAGACAGAAATACCACGAGCTTCTTCAGCCTATCAACTTGTCCAACAAAGACGAAAGGCAGTGTCTGCGATATCGACTTGTAAGCCTTACTCGGTCGAGCTATCTGGAACTTGGATTGGAAGTTGATGTCGATCAAGACTCTTTGATCTCCAATCACAACATCCAAGTACTCATATTTCCCTGTTTTACCACACAAAAGTGTTATCATCTTTAACGATTTGCAAATTTGTAAAAGTGGAATGAAGAAAAGAACATACCAGCAGGAATAGGACAGGATCTCGATTTCGATTTCTCCCAGCTAGATTTGCAGACTGCTGCATCATAGCCTAAAGCCACCAGTTCATCAGCAACAGCTTTCAATGTTGTTACATCTTTAGTCTCAACAAGCTCCATTGCTTTAGTCTCCAGATCACGCTCAGCGACGTTAGCACAGAGTAACAGACTCTACAAAACATTGTCCCAAAAAAAATACTCTGTTTACATTATTAGATTTCAAACATTTATCTTTTATGAGAGATCATATCATTCATGATACATACCTTGAGGCTTTGAAGAAGTCCGCCTGAAGAAGACTCTTCGTCTTCGTCGGAGCTATCAGTGCCACTTCCACTGAAACAGTTGCAGTGGTTACGACATACAGTAACACAACGTGACTGTTTCTCACTGTCTGGATCCTCGATGTATCTCTCAACCATCTTCCTCAAACAGACAGAGCTTGGTTCAAATTCTTCCGAATGGCCTCTCCGAAGTGGTGAATCTACACGGGAGAAGCTCTTCAGACTGAACTGACGTTCAAAGAGCCGCTTCAGTCGAGATCTCGGGGTTTGTCTCATCACAGCCGCCTGCTTCTCCTCCTTCGCTACACCATTGACGTTAATAGGTCGGATTTTTGATAGGAAAGGCATTTTTGTAAGTCGTCCAAAAATCTCAGGGAATTCAAAGAGATCTATTTGATTCTTCGCTTCCAAGTTCCTACCAAACCCAAAAAAAAAAAAATGGAGGAGGAAGATGTGCAAATGAAAAGAAACAAAACTCAAGGATCAAAAATGTTATGAAAATTCAAACGTCAAAGATTGATTTTATTTAAAGTACCACGACGAAGCTTTGAGAAGAACAAACAAAAAAGGAAAAAGATCACTTGAATGGAGGGTTTTTTTAGATACGGATTGATACTCGACGACACGAAAACGTCATGCTTTTAATGCCTTTTTTGATTTTTTTTTGGTTGGAATTTTTTCTTTTATGTATATAAGAGGATGCAAATCACTTTGTGGATGATGTAATTTTGGTTTAGATTGCCTCTAAGATGCATAGGATATTAAAAGATTTCTATGGAAGATAGTTTTGCTATAGTCTTAATGGAAGAAGAAAGCAATCTTTGATGCTTCTTATATAGGCAAAGGAGAAGACTGAATAGAGACCTTTACCCATTTACCATAGTCGCAAATAAAGCAAAGTCTTTATAGATTACGTGTTCGTTTTTTACTGGTGTATTCTACGTCACTCATACTGGTTTTTTATGTAAATTTATGTATTATATCTAGTTTACATTTATAGTGGTGTTTAGTTATTTACTTTACTTGAGTCAACATTATTACTACAAAGATATAAACCAAAATTGTAAATGTAAATCTAATTTACATTTTGCAATGAAATTTAATGTCCACGCGTAAGCATTACAGTTTAACCTAAACAAAAAAGGTTTGATGTACATCTCTTTTACTAAAACATTTTATGCCACGTTTCTAATTTTCATGAGTCTCACTGTCATATCTTTCTTTTATTCATAATTGCTTTTTTTATGACCATCAATACTAATAATTATAGTCAAATAAATCACTCAGTGAATCGTAAATGCTAGTTGGATCGAATCGTAAATGTCAGTTGGATTGTCTAAAAATAAAACTAGAAAAGAAGTCACAATCTTAATGCATTTATGGTGTAATGAGCAAAAATCACAAAATACTATGAAAAATCTACACGCGGCGATATTATCTTTTAGCATTTAATATTCAAAGCAATTTTTATTTGACTAGATATTTTATGTTAAGTTTTTTTATAATTTCTATGAAAATAAGATGTAATACCTTTTTTTTACACTAAAATACTAGTTTTATATATCCATATAAATGATTTAGTCAAGAAAAATATATAAAATTTGACTAAAAAGCAATTCGGTCGCAAATACCAATTACGTATTGCCTAAAAAACAAAAGAGAAGATAGATGAAAATCTCAATCTATTTATGATGACACTAGTATAAATTACAAAGAGCTCAACAGCCAATTCATCACAAGAACTGATTCTTCCATCACAAAAGCAAAATCAGATAAAGGTATGTATAAACTTCTCTTCTATCATTTCTCACAAGCTAAGAGTACTTTTAGGGTCTTCTAAATCCATTTTTTAAAGTAATAAAGAGGATTTTAAATTTTATAAGAAACGGAGGGCTTTGTGGCAAGATGTTGAAACATTTTAAGGCTCCAAAAGGGAAAATTTTAACCGCGAAAGCGTAGGTTCCCCCCAAGATTTTAAAAATATTTAAAAACTCCCACCAAACTTTTTGATTTTAAAACTCCCATCCCATTCAATTTCAACCAGATTTCGTTTGTTTCGTCCTTTTTTTCTTTCTTTCTGCATTCTCTCGTCGTCGTCTCAGGTACTTTACTTGCTTCTTCTTCTCTTCTCTCTTCCCCAAACCTAGATCTGTTTCTCTGTGTTTTCTCACTTTCTTCGAGAAATTTTTGGTGGGATTCTCGGTTCTGTTTCTTCGATTTAGTCTTTCTTTTATGGTTTTTCTCACAGATCTGGTAGATTTATGGATTATACTCTTGTTTTTTTTCTGAATTTTTCTTGTTTTTGTTTGACTATGTATGCTCAGATCTAGAAGAAGGAAGCAGCGACATGGCAGGCAAAGGAGGAAAAGGACTCGTAGCTGCGAAGACGATGGCTGGTAACAAGGATAAAGATAAAGATAAGAAAAAACCCATCTCTCGCTCTGCTCGTGCTGGTATTCAGGTCTATTTCTCAAACCCTAATTTCTCGCATATGTATATCATTTTGACCTTCTTTGACTTAAATTAGTCACTACGATTCAGATCTTTAGGACTAGGTTTGTGTTTTTTGTTCAATTTATCGGTTTTTTTTTTTTTTTTTGCTTGCTCGCTGTGTGCTTTGAGTACTTGGATATCTCAGTATAGTATTGTCATATGTTATGAGTCCCCATATTATTTACCTACTTTCTTATGGTATGAGCAAACCCCATAACGATGTTGTTTTGATAATATGACTCGAAAGCTTCTCTGAAGCTAACTTGTGTTTGGTTATAGTATAGACAATGGTCTTTTTTTCATATCAGGTTTACTGTTTTCATGAAACTATTTGGTCTGCAATCCTGAATTCATAAGCTTTATGTACATGTCTTGGATCACTTTAGGACTTGTAGCAGATGAAAGATGCTTGACTATACGTGATGTGTTTTTCTTGTGACCTATTGCTGTTCTGTTATGATTTTTTAATGCTTCGCATAGCCATATAAGTAGCAAGGTCAGTCTTGCAATGTGGAGGCTAGCACTGATGCTGTTTCTTTGTTTATTTCAGTTTCCAGTGGGTCGTATCCACAGGCAACTCAAGACCAGAGTTTCTGCACATGGCAGAGTTGGTGCCACTGCTGCTGTCTACACTGCTTCAATCCTGGAGTACCTAACTGCTGAGGTTCTCGAGTTAGCTGGAAATGCGAGCAAAGATCTGAAAGTGAAGAGGATTACTCCAAGGCATTTGCAGCTGGCAATCAGAGGAGATGAGGAGCTTGACACACTCATCAAAGGAACCATTGCTGGAGGAGGTGTGATCCCTCACATCCACAAGTCTCTCATCAACAAAACCACCAGAGAGTGATTTGTTTCTTATGTCACTGAGAGATTGTGTGATTTGCTAGTTAGTAGCTTATGCTGTTTCTGTTTGTTTAGTCTTGTACTACATTTCCTTTTTCTCTTCTTAGTTCTTTGACTAGTGTTGATCTCTTCTGGACATCCTCAGGTGTACATTAGTTAATTTGAACTTTTAGGTTTCTTCTTCAAGCAAATGCTGTCTCTTGTGATTTGCTTACTATGTTGAAAAGTGAACTATTTTCAGTGTTTAACAACTACATATATCATTTGCTCACATGCTCTCTTAGTTATAGAACCTGGAATCAAACATCATCAGCATTTGATAAAAGTCACATATTCTAAATGAGTCCCCAATACCCCTAACATAAGTCAAATCTCAAAACCATTTAATTTCCAAGAAGAGTTCATCATTCACTCACTCACTATAGGCTAAGGCTTTGAGCATGTCAATTGCAAGCTTGAAGGTGTCTTCAATGAGTGAAAGCTTTTGAACGTTCTCTAGTTAATGTGGTTTCAAATGCCTCAACGAGCAATGATGCATTCTTCTTCCTTTCTACAGCGAGTTTGCTGACGGTATGTTGCAGAGCACAATCAGTCATCCACTCTTCAGTGTTCTTTATCTTATACATATCCTGATGCTTGAGTTCCACTATTTCACTGCTCCGTTCTGCAGTAATCGGAAGGTAATTGGGTTCTCTTGGGTTGAATTCCCTCGAGTTCTCAGTGCACTCTTCTCGGTTGCAGGGTTCTCGCGCAATGGTTAACAGAGTTTCCTCTGTTTTTGATACAAGCGCAATCCGCTCTTCCAGTTTCTCATCATCTACCTCCTTCCAGTTTTCAGATTTCTTGGAGTTCAGCTTCTCATCAAGAGCTTTCCCTAGATTCGTATCATCTTGTATAGTGGACTGTTCGGATAAAAGAATGTTTATAGAGTTATCCGAGAAACCACTCTCTTCATTCTTCTGACCCCCACCTGGATTTTCTGACTGTTCAAGAACGGCAAAGTTTTCAATTATCAGACTAAAAACTTTTTCATCACAAGAGTCACATGATTCAATGCCTTCTCCATCTAGTAAGTTCACTATCTCTACACGCTTAGATTCTAAACCTTCAGCCTTTCCCAATTTCATGTCCACCTTCTCGGTCTCAAAATCGATTACTTGGATATCAATATCTCGAGTGCTTACATTTTCTTTCTTCTTATCAACATAGATATCCACACAACCAACATCACTACTCTTCTTCACACTTGCATGGGACTTCAAGGAACGTCTCCTTGCGGATATAAAGTCTTTAAGAGGTGGACATTGTTCGTGAAGATGCGTGTTGAGTGAACAATACGTATAAGGACAGACTTTCAAGACGCCAATAGTATTACGCATCAGATCCTCTCTGAACTTCGAGTTCTTAACAAACGAAGAACAAGTCGCTCTATTACAACAAAGACCAATACTATAACTTCTCTTGAAACTCAAAATCTTTTTTAAACCCCCAGCACTCGACCTACTACTACTACTCTGCTTCTTATCCCCAGAGCATGAATTGTCGAGTTTCTTACAGGACTGGCTCTTCTTGTCCGAACCAGGTTGAAAACTTCGGCTCTGTCTCTTAGCCTCTGAACTACTCGTTCCCTTCATGTAATTAGGTGAACCACCTGTGACTTTAGCAACGATCTGCTTCTTCGGTGTCGTTGGTTGAAAACCTTGGCTCTGTCTCCTAGCCTCTGAACTATTCGTTCCCTTCATGTAATTAGGTGACGACCCGCCTATGATTTTAGCAACGATCTGCTTCTTTCGTGTCGTTGGTTGAGGAAGCATACTAGTTCTTCTTCTCTTGATCATCTCCTCCGGTCCATGGCTCCTCTGTAACCGATCTTGAGTAGTCTTCCTCTGAATCATTAAAGCTTTTACTTTCTTTTCTACCAATACGTTTCCGGTTTTGGTTTATAATTGCAATTGCATGCTTCCCCTTTTATAATCCACATTCTGTTTATTAATTGTTGTTTCTAAATCAACAATTTGTCTTTTTTTTGTTCTCTTATTATATATAACGTCTCCGCTATAATATGTTTTTTTTTTTTTTTTTTGATAAATCAACATTATTTTTTCGTTTTTTTCATAGAAGTTAATAAAAGCCAAAACCAAACATAATCTGTTGTTATTTAATCACTAGTTCAAAATTATAAAATACAATTTGGTGTTGTTAAATATGATATTTTGTAAATCATGATACAGAGATTTAAAATTTTGTTGTTATTCAATAGTGATTACTAACAGTTGATTACATATGGTGTTATTGAAAACTAAAAAAAATCTTTGTATATTGAAGAATCACTTAGAATTAATTTTAATGAAGTTTATAGGTTAAAGTATCAGAAAAAAAAAATCTAAGATATAACGCACAAGGTTTAGAATCCACGAAAATAAAGTTTTATAAAATGTTATAAAATTTGTAATCTTAAATATTATTTTAGATACTTGAAGTTTCTTAAATCATTGATCAAATAAGGCTCTCCTAAAAAATAAATGTAAAAGGGTTAGAAATTTAAACAACAACGTCGTCAAGGACGGATTCATTGGCTCACACGCTCCTCTTCTTCTTTTCGCAGTCACAATCCAAAACATTTTCAAACTCTTAAAAAATATGTCATATTCAGAATTCAGTGTGTCCTTTGTCGAGATTTCAATTTGAGTCTGTTATCAGTAGACTTGAACCACTTTTTTAAATAGCTGAAAGGATAAACAAACCTTCCGGTTTGGATCCATACCAACAGAGTGATAACCCTCGATGAAGTTGGAGAGTTCTTTGTGACTCTTTAACGAAAATATCTCAAGATTAAGAGTAAGTGTGAAGAAAGCATTTTACCAAAAAAAAAAAAAACCATATTGACACTTGTAGATGTGTCTTTGTCGCCACGCTTGAAACCTACAACTCAATCCAGAGAACAAGATTTGAAGTAGATTAGAAGAAAGCTGCGATGCCCCAAATGGCCTATACGAAATTAAAATCAGTGAGAATCACTGCCAAGAATCAAGATTCAACGACCATGCAGCCAAGAGTTAAACCACCATCAAGAACCATATATAATGACACTCTGCAATTGAGCAAAGATCCTCCAAGTTTCTTTTCTTTGGCCTGTCTCTTCATGAGGTTGTCGACTCTTGAGCTTTACTTGTACTGTATGTTAGTAGAAACACATCTTTACAATATTTATAATTCATTTTTATTTACTAACTAAATAAATCACACATATATATAGATTTGTTTCAATTTACTAAGACTATCATTTCCCCTAACTATTGTAATTGTCTTGTCTTCCATTTCATTTAGACTTTAAACGCAAGAAGTTTAAATTTCATTGATGCATTAGTACCAAGTTTACATCTCTATCAATTTCCTTTTTTTGGATTCTTTGGTTTCTCGAAGTTGAAGCAAAATCAATAAAAATATCATTGTGGTAGATAATTAACATCGAAGAAATTCTTGAGATTCAAATGACCATGTTCAAATAAGCTATAACCACCACATAAACCTTCCTTTCAAGTTTGAACGTCGGAAGAAGAATGTCTAATTAAAACATATTTGGTTACAATCATACATATATATTACTAGACCTATACAACGAAGTCTTGCAAGTGCAGCAAAGCAATGAGATATTTTCTTTTGGATTTGGATTTAATAATTTGGTTACAAAACCTTGGTATACATATGGTTTCATTATTTTTCCTTTATCTGTGTAAAATATTGCTTGCAATAATCTATAATCAGTCTTTTGCTACTTCTTGACTCGCGTTATTTATAGTGTTATCCATTAATTAAATATGTTCTGTTTATTTATTCTACGTACGACCATGCTACTTATGACTATAGATAAGAACATACAAACTCGTATATATGTTAATTAATTAAGTTTGGCCATTCCGTTTTCATTTGGCTTCTTGGTTAAGCATAAGAAGATGTGGTCAAGTTGGTGAGAGACTGAGAGGTAGGTGGCTCCAGAAATTGCAATTAACACGTGATTATATTTACTAATCCAATTGTAAATAGTAGTAGTCTTTTTTTTTTTTTTTTGTGTGTGAACGAAATAGTAGTAGTCTACTCTCGAACTAAACCACTATTTTACAAAAAAACGAAATACAAATTGTTGGTTTGATATTATATATTTTTTTTTCATAATTCTATTAATCTTTTATTTATGCTGTATGCTGTGCATTGGCATACAAAAATATGTGACGCTCATATAAATAATTAACGGACAATGATATATATTTGGAACCGTTTGCTTTTTATTGGGATCGACCAAAGAGAATTCCAATTTTGCATGGTCGCATCGACTAATGGGTTTTAGTTCCATCCACTCCAAAAGAATAACACAATGATCTTATGTTCCGTATCAAAAATCTAGTTAAATTGCAGTTTTGTTGTTTCTTTACGATAATAAGTGTTACCTAGCTGTGGTTCCTAAAATATGTAACGCTCTTTAGACATGTGACACCACTTTTCACACACATCTACAACTATTATATACAAAAAAAAAAAAAAAGTTAATTAATAATAGGTCCAAAAAAAAACTATTGTATGTACGTCTCCACTAATAATATAACCTTATCTCTTTCATTATTGAATATAAAGGTACAACATGATTACTTGAACTCCTATATTAGTTCTTCTGTGTTGTGTGATTTGTCTTAAGAGAAAATAAATGAGATCAATGGCTCAGAAATCGGTTTTGATGTTATGCGGAGAGTTCATGGAAGCCTACGAGACCATAGTACCTCTCTACATTCTCCAAGCCTTCGGCGTTAACGTCCACTGCGTTTCTCCTGCTCGCAAAACTGGCGACAAGTGCGTCATGGCCGCTCACGATCTTCTCGGCCTCGAGGCATTTCTCTTATCTTTCCCTTTACCTTCATTTCGTTTTTGCGTCTCCTTCCAATCTTTTTTTTTCGCTTAATTACTAAACCAAAGAAATACCCAAAAAAAAAAATAATAATAATTTGAACCCGAAAATGCCACACACTTGTTATTAGTACTAAAACTACATGTACGTAGTTCAAACTAGTACTGGATTAATCGTCCACTATAAAGAATCTGATCCAGGTTTCGGTATTTAGATAACTTAATTTGGATAAATGCGGATTAACTAATTATAACAAATATTATTTAAAACGTTTAATTATCCAAAACGTATGCATTTGGGTGGTCTCAACGCAAATTGCATGGGCCTACTCTATAGTAGAAAAGAAGAGTAAACAATTTTGTTTTTACCTTTTTACAGATATACACTGAGTTGGTGGTTGACCATCTAACACTAAACGCAAACTTCGAAGACGTCATCCCCGACCATTACGACGCCATCATCATTCCCGGTGGACGTTTCACGGAGCTTCTGAGCGCAGACGAGAAATGCGTGAGTCTTGTCGCTAGATTCGCCGAACTCAAGAAGCTCATCTTCACGAGCTGCCACAGCCAGCTGTTTCTCGCTGCTGCGGGTCTGCTCACCGGTGGAATGAAGTGCACGGCGTTCGGAAGCATGAAGCCGTTGATAGAGCTCTCAGGCGGCGCGTGGTGGCAACAGCCCGGAGTCCAGACCCTTTTCGACATCACTGATTGTGTCAAGGACGGAAGTTTCATGTCTACTATGGGGTGGCCTACTCTTGCTCACAGCCTCAGAGTTTTGTTGGAATCACTTGGCTCCAAGATTTCTAGCTCCAATGAGAATCATCAGCCTTCTTTGCTCTTCTTGATTGGGGTAAGCCTTCCACTTCATTACTTATGTGTATATTGTTAAATATATTAAAGTTGACTCTAATAATATTTCTTAATATTTTTGTCCACCAATTAAGTCAAAACATAGTCTATTTTACCAATTAAACTTAACCCTAAATAAAATGAAAAATATATATGATTAACAGATGTTTATATTGATATATTTAATTTATTTGTCTTCAAAGCCTAACGGAAAATATTTCTATAAAGTGAAAATCCGAATGTTTCAATTTTTTGGTCAAAGAAATCTGAAAGTCCATTACTAATCACAAATTAAATCTCTACTAACACGTGAAAGAGAGTATGCTCCATGTTTTATTTTATTTTTAAATAGCACAAATGATATGGTCTAAATAATATGTAATCTTGGTCTATATGTAGGACTGTGTTGAAGACTACAGTATCAATGTACCATTTAAAGCGTTTCAAGCTCTAGGATGTAAAGTGGATGCAGTGACGCCAAACAAGAAGAGAGGTGAGAAATGTGCTACTATCGTTCACGACCTCGAGGACGGACGGCAACTTCCTACTGAGAAGTCTGGCCACAACTTCTATGTGACCATTGGGTGGGATGATGTCTCCGTGGATGATTACGACTGCATCGTGGTACCCGGAGGAAGATCGCCTGAGCTCTTGGTGATGAACCCCAAGGCCGTAGAATTGGTCAGAACGTTTGTTGAGAAAGGCAAGTTTGTTGCTGCCATTGGAATGGGAAATTGGCTACTTGCCGCTACAGGCACTCTTAAGGTAAAATTCAACGTTGATATTAATTAGAGGTAGCCGTATCAACCAAAATGAATCAAACATGATCTAATTAATATATATACTAACCGAACAAATTAAGATCTTAAAAGCTGTATATAAATATAATCCTGCATCTCTTAGGGCATCCTTATGCGTATAGAGAAAGAAAAAAAAATGTCAAGCTAAGTTATTTGCTCTTCACATTTGAATATAGTTTCATACTGTTGTCCTTTTAAACACGCATATAGGGATCTCCAATATATAAAATTATGGTTATGGCTAAAGATTATGACAGCATTTTGTTGAGGATTAAGATATAACTCATCATACCAATAACGAAAACCAATATAAATGTTTTCTTTTTTTTTTGCCAATTTGTGAACTCATATCTAATTTCATTGGTTTTGTCATACTATATATATATTACGTACATTGCAGAAGAAGAGATGTGCAAGTAGTTATGGGACAAAAGTAGCTGTAAAGGTTGGTGGTGGTGAGATCGTGGAATCAGAGCGGTGTGTGACGGACGAGAAGCTGGTCACAGCCGCAGAAACGTCAGATCTTCCTGCTTTTATGTATGCGTTGTCGGGTGCACTTGGTCTCTCTGTTGTATTCTAATAATGTCTCAATGGTGTTTCGATGCGCGTAGTAGTAATGCCTTAAAAATAAAACGTATAAAGTGTGGCATGATGTGCATTACTTCAATTTGCATGAATCTTAATTCGTAAACACTAAACAAGCGCTAGCCGCTTTATTGACAATGCATGTACGTTGTACCATCGCTTGCGTTTTTCTTACTTTTTTTTTTTTGTAGTTGCAATGATAAACCCATCACCGAAATAAATTGTATTTCCTGGTTAAATAGTAAATTTTAGTGACTCATTGTCAACAAATTAATCTCTGTTGTTGTTATTTTATTTTAGTAGCACTAATCAATATCTAATGATTTTAGGTCACTAACACGTTTTAAAATAATAGCATACTATAAATCAACATATTAACGGGTTAAATACTGAATATATTCATCGATAAATGTTCAACAAAAATAAGATTTTTTCGTTCAAAATATAATAATAAGATAACGTTTTTATGCTAATTTACCGATGAAGATGTATAGTATGTTGTAGCTAGAATCGCAATGGTTTGCCGACCAACTTACCTATCATTAAATTGTAAATCACAATTTTTAATAGTTTTTCTTTTTTGGTAGTGAGTAATGACAATTTTTAATAGTTAATCACAGCTTAAAGTTCCTTAATTTAATTAATTTTAAAATGGTTATGGTTAAAATATTTTGGCTCATTAAAAAATAAAATGAAGGGTAAAAAACTGAAGCCAGAATATTCCGTTCGTCGGCGTCGTCTTTCCCGCCCCCAAATTATACGAGCAAAACCCTAGACTCTCGATTTCGTCACGATTTGCTCAATCACCTTCACTTTTCTGCTTCAATGGACTCCCACTCTTCCCATCTCAACGCGGCCAACCGTTCGCGCAGCTCTCAAACTCCTTCTCCTTCTCATTCGGCCTCCGCTTCCGTCACTTCTTCTCTCCACAAGCGCAAGCTCGCCGCCACCACCGCGGCGAATGCAGCCGCCTCTGAAGACCACGCTCCTCCTACTACCTCTTTCCCTCCTTCCTCCTTCTCTGCCGATACTCGCGACGGTGCCTTGACCTCCAACGACGAACTCGAGAGCATCTCAGCTCGCGGCGCTGATACGGATTCAGACCCTGATGAATCTGAGGATATCGTCGTTGACGATGATGAGGACGAATTTGCTCCTGAGCAGGATCAAGACTCTTCAATGCGCACTTTCACGGCCGCTCGACTCGATTCCAATTCTGGAGTCAATGGTTCAAGTCGCAACACTAAGCTGAAGACGGAGAGCTCCACTGTGAAGCTTGAGAGCTCTGATGGTGGAAAAGATGGTGGATCATCTGTGTCTGGGACCGGTGTGAGTGGAATCGTAGGAGGAAGCTCAATCTCAGGGCTGGTGCCGAAGGATGAGTCTGTTAAAGTATTGGCTGAGAATTTTCAGACAAGCGGAGCTTACATTGCGAGAGAAGAGACTTTGAAGAGAGAGGTAGCTTATCACTGGACCCTATCTTTATAGGCCTTGATCTATGCCAATGAACTACCAGATGAGTTCAGAGAATTGCCATTGACAAATATCTTTCTTTTAGGAGCAAGCAGGACGACTCAAATTTGTTTGTTACTCAAATGACTGCATTGATGAGCATATGATGTGGTAATTCCTTCCCTCAGTCGTCTCCTGTCACTGAATTTTCAGCTTCTAATCAGCTCTGAGTTTTTATTTTCTGAATAATTTGTTGTATGTTTGCCAGCTTGGTTGGATTGAAGAACATATTTGCAAGACAGTTACCTAACATGCCCAAGGAGTACATTGTCCGTCTTCTGATGGACAGGTAAATATGCTAAATTAGAGTGAAAAGACGACTACTTTTTAAAATTATCACAATTTCTATATCAAACAATGGCAAATGGTAAGCATTCTAATATCTGTAACTTATGTTATTTTCTCAGGAAACACAAGTCTGTTATGGTCCTAAGAGGAAATCTAGTTGTAGGTGGTATCACGTATCGTCCATATCACAGGTAAGGTCTATTTCGCATAACTTGTCCCATCTTTTTAAACCCAATGATATTCTACTAGTGATAACTTAATCCAAATGTATAGTTATACGCTTATGCATCTAGTTTTGCTCTTTACTTAAGACTGAAAGAAAGTAGTATATTGACTTGGAATCTTATGTTATCATCACGCACAGGCTTCTTTTCAAATTGAATAATCTGTAAACTGATTTCATAATGAGCGTAGTTACAGTCTTGACATGCTTATTAACTCCACTTTTCCTGGGATCCAGTCAGAAGTTTGGGGAAATAGCATTTTGTGCAATCACAGCAGATGAACAAGTAAAAGGTTACGGTACCAGATTGATGAACCACTTGAAACAACATGCACGTGATGTTGATGGATTGACACATTTTCTTACTTATGCGGACAACAATGCTGTTGGTTATTTTGTCAAGCAGGTTGGTATATTTCGTAAATTCTGCAGTTTCTTGCTCTATAGTTAATCTGACAACAAATGTCAAAGGATTTCAAATTTCCTGGATTGAGCCTGGATATACACTTCAAAAAGTTCTGTTTCTACTTTGCTATCAAGTCTACTTTCTGGGATACAAACTTATTTTATACTCGTTCACTAAGTTGATCTGGTAAATCCATTATCTTGCAGGGTTTTACTAAAGAGATTTACTTGGAGAAAGATGTATGGCATGGGTATGCTCTTAAGTTCAAACTGCTCATTACCGTACTTAACTTGTTTGATGTCTGACTGAAATATTTGTGGGCTCAATTAAGCCCACAAACCTGAGAGTAAAAACATTACATTTCCTAGTTTATCATGCTATCAGAGAGCTTTTCAAAATTTGGCTTATTATTCTCTTCTTCATCTTTAAACTAACTTTCGCAAATAACAAAAGCTTGGTATTTTCCTAGGTTCATTAAAGATTATGATGGTGGCCTCCTAATGGAATGCAAAATTGATCCAAAGCTTCCATATACGGATCTGTCAAGCATGATACGCCAGCAAAGAAAGGTAAGCCATTGAATCTACTTTGTATCTGATAAAAAAAATTCATTGTCCTTCAGGGTCAGATACTTTCAAGTATCAGTAAAGTAATACTCGATAAATTAATACCTCGATAAGTCAATACATTTCTTCGGCCCAAATTGGTTTTTTTCGGCTCAATTACCCAGAGTATCTGTAAATTAATAACTTTGTGGCTGATTCTGGAAAGATTCAAAAACAGAAGAAATACAACTTTAGGACTTGGTTATTGAGAATTTGAGAGTTCCCTTCCTCTCCCGAGGAGGACTTAATTAATGGAAGTTACTGTATTCCTCTGTCGAGAACCAAGCTACCCACCGAAAACGCTTAATCTTAGTAACTAAGAGAGTATGGTGACCTACCACTAAGAAAACCGACACAGCTTAAAAGTAATTACTAAACAAGTAAACATTTGTTATATTACTGTCTAATTAATCTATAAAGACCTTTTGGTGATTGGATCCTCGCGACCATTATATATATATATATATATCAGATTCTGATCCCCATTGTACTTTTGTTATAACAGGCAATTGATGAAAGGATAAGAGAGTTATCAAACTGTCAGAATGTGTATCCAAAAATTGAGTTTCTAAAGGTAAGCATCAATGGTTTCGTGTTAATATAACCCCGTTTGCAGTAGTTTTGATAAATAAGATATTTTTTTTTTTTGCAGAATGAAGCTGGAATTCCTAGAAAGATTATCAAAGTTGAGGAAATACGTGGCTTAAGTAAGTTATGATTCTACTCCCTGGTGTTATTTGCAGTTTGTTACTCCAAAAAATAGATTTGTCTCCCTAGAACATGTTCCAGTCATCTCAAAATTAAGCTTGTGCTAGTGGCTCCATGAGATCAAGTTGATAAGCATGTGCTAAGATTCCTGCATTGGTTAGCAATGGGCTTAGGGTTTGTCTTAGACTGGCTTTAAACAAATCGATTCATCTCCTTTTATTTTGTATAGTAAGAGCAGTTCCTAAATTGGCGTGTAAAAATGCAGGTTCTTTAATCTGTAATAGTTTTTGTCATGTTGCGTAATTATTAGTTTGACTAATACGGGAATTATGGTAAAAATATTGCAGGAGAAGCTGGTTGGACACCAGATCAGTGGGGGCATACACGTTTCAAAATATTCAACTGTTCTGCAGATATGGTGACAAATCAAAAACAGTTGAATGCACTTATGCGCGCACTTTTGAAGGTTGTGATAAGTTTCTTTCCCCCAGTGCATTGTCATTGATTATTATGCCCTCTTACATATTATGTTACATGCCCTCTAGTTTGACAAGCTGTAGTTAATTGCAACAGACAATGCAAGACCATGCTGATGCTTGGCCATTCAAAGAACCAGTTGATTCTCGTGATGTCCCTGATTACTATGACATCATTAAAGATCCCATTGGTAATAAGATACATATAGCTATTAAGTATTCAGAATTTTGTCTTCTTTAAGTAAAAATGGTTTCAGTTTGGTTGAACAAAAATGGTATGAACACAGATCTGAAGGTAATTGCAAAGAGGGTAGAGTCGGAACAGTATTACGTGACACTCGACATGTTTGTTGCTGATGCGAGACGGATGTTTAACAATTGTAGAACTTACAACTCCCCTGATACCATTTATTACAAATGTGCAACCAGGTAAAAGGTTTCTCTTTCATTTCATCTCTTATCTTGTAATTTGGTAATGAAAATGTGTAATTTGAATTTTTTTGTCTTTTTTCTTAAAAGGTTGGAAACTCACTTCCATAGCAAAGTACAAGCAGGTCTCCAGTCTGGTGCTAAATCTCAATAGAGGTGGCAAAGTGAAGAAAAAAATTCTTAACCTTTCATTTCTACGATAATTTTGTTGGGAGTAGGGATACCAACCTGACAACATTCAAGTGTATTGTCAAGTCCATGTATGATGTATATTAATTTGCATACGACTCTTTTAGTTTTAGGAATACAAATCTTCTAGCCAAGTTTCCCAAACTTGCAAGCATTTGTCTTTGCCCTCCCCTTATCCCATATGAGATATATTCATGGTAATATCAAAATAAGTTCATGTCCATTGTTATTTCAGAATCGTCTGCTTAGAAGTTTTGTGAGAATGACACGTGAGAGAGTGTGTGTAGTGCTTTTTGTTTTAAGAATGTCTTTCGATTAATATAGATAAAGGATTAGAAGTTTACAAAGAGTCACACAGTAAATAAAAAATACAGACAATAGTTGTCTCAAAATTACAAAACCAGTGAGTCTTCTTATGGCTAATGCTTGTGATTCCAATGGGGTAGGGTTTCATACATATTAGAATCAGGAGCAAATGGATTCTGCATGCCGTCACGATTTACCTGTTCCGGCAAGAAATTTGCCGCCTCTGCTCTCTGATTTGGTGCTAAACCCGCACTGGTGGTGGTGGTGCTTGGGATTCCTGGTTTCACAATGTGGTTAGCGTTTGGCGGGATTCTAGTGGGAGCGCTCGGTGTGTTGTTGAATGGTATGCCCATGTTTGGTCTTGCCCAATGCAAAGGGTTCACTCCCGTCACTCTTTTCACAGTTTCCTCTGCCATCTTAACCTGCACAAGTTTTTATAAATGCGATCAACTCATTAATAAATAAGATTACATTATAGTCTTGGGTGTTGTAAGATCTTAAAACTCAGGAGTCATAATGATATCAATGGAATCTGTATACCTTTGTTCTCAAAGTTTCGATATCAGCTCTTAAAATTCTGTTGTCAACAGCAGCTGCATCATACTTATGATTCATGTCACTGAGACGATTAAGTAAAGTTGAATGCTCAGCTCTTAATTGGCCTACCTGTGGATGCCAACAAATTTTCCTATAAATCCCTGGAAGACAGCTGAAAAGACAAGACGAATCGAGAAACGTATAATGAGCAACTAATAAAAGAACGAACCTGTGTATCAAATTCATTCATTTGTTCTTGCTTTCTTCTCCTGGACCGCCTAGCGGATTCCCGGTTTGAGAGCATCCTGGGTTATAACAATATACTGAATCATGATGACCTTGAAAAAAATTAGATATATAGAGCCTGATTTTGTCTAAATGACTATTTTTTTCTACTTTCAGATGTACAAAAAGATTTTCCTAACAACAACAGATAAAACATAAAACTAATTGAAACATTCCTCTTCAAGACTTCAATTCTTGCTTTTCTTTTTTAGAGATGGTAGGAAAGCTAAGCTGCAAACTGTTCCCACAAAACGTTCAAAGTCGAAGTACATCTTAAGAATACAAAGATCAAGATTCATACCTCCTAGCACGCTTCACATCAGTAGGATCTCCATTATCTGCATCTCCATCAAGATCATCGTCGTCAGAATCATCTCGTGATGAAATACTGGTAGTTTGTCTGGCTGGAACATCTGGTTTCTTTTGCGTGCTTGTTGAGGAAGAAAATTTAACAGATGAAGCACCAGGTGAGGTTTGTGCCACAGTAGAGCCTAGAAGAGTAAAAAATAATCCCATAAATCCACCAACCGAAGAAAAACTCATCAAGGTATATATCCCAAGGAGTAATAGAAACTATGTAGTAGAATGCACTATGAAGTATGGAGAGTCAAAAGATAAGAATTCTCATCTAAACACATAATACATGTGCCTTGTTTCTTTATTCTAAGAGAAACAGCAGATGAGAGAAACGATATGACAGTGATGAGAATTTGCTACAATAGAAGAGAACAATTATGAATAAACACTGAAAAAGCAAAATCAATTTTGTAGTCAAACTAATTGACAGACAAATCTCGTAAAATGCTTTGTTCTCTGTGTAATCGAAACATAGATATAGGAGAGAGAGAGAGAGCCAAAAACCAAAACAAAGCAACGATACGTAACCTTGAGCTTGCTTTTGATTGCTAGCTGAGGCACTTGAATCTTCCGGTTTCACAGTTCCCACCTGCGAAAAAAATGAAATCAAATTAACTCCACAGCTAAAATGTTTTCCTCAATTTCTCTTCGTCTGAACGGACATAAGAAAATGGATCTAAAAGACGTACACGACGAGCAACAGCAGCGCAAGCAAGCTCGAGCTTGCTCTTAAGAATCGCATGGTACTGATTAGGATCAACACCAGCTGAAGAATCCAACGGATCAGACGACGGAGCACGATTCCGATTCCCTTGATCATCCGCAGGAAGACGATGATGACTCTGCTGCGGCTTCTGAATCTCGACAACATCTTCGGTTTCTTCAACGGTTTCTTCCACTCTCGGAAGAGACTGAACCGGTGGAGGCGATCTCTCGATTGTGTTGGTCGTAGCGCTCGAATCGGAACCGGACAACTCATTGAGAAGCCTGTGGAACGCCCACTCCGATTGACTTCGAGTCATCCCGTCCGTCATGTTCTGCGGCGGTGCCGGAAGCGGAGTCGATCCCGGTGACGGCGCCGGAGCGGGAACGGGCCAGAAGGATTCGGTCAAATCATCGACAGAGAAGACGATGTGCATCGCTTACCCAATCGCCTCAGATTCCTTTTTTTTTCTCTCTCTCTCTCTCTCCTAAATTCTTATTTTTGTCTTTTTCTCTTCTCTCTGTGTTGTCTTACGTGGAGCCGCCGTTATTGATTAGGAGGATACTTGACACGTTTCTCTATTGTATTGGATTACTACAAAAGTGAAAGAAAAAAAAAATACGTCGGAAAGAAAAAAGATAAAAAAGGCATTTAAATTTTACTTTAGTTGGTGTGACTTGCGAGGCATTCACAAATCACAAGTAAGCTTTAAACAAAGTAATGGACAAGGATGAGCTCATGTAACACTTATAGGAGCCTAGGTGGATACCGCAGACAACAAATAGGAGGACTGGAATTGGTACAATGCGTCAAATCGAAGGTTCTAAATCAAGACACTTGGTCAATTAAGTAATTCCCCAGCTTTGGGTTGTGGCGTGGTGACTATCTCATGTGACTTTTCATGACTTATGAAGAGGTTGAACTGTTGAAGACTGTGAACCTATGGATGCGCAAGTCTGTGAGGAGAAGTTCACGGATGTTTTACTAGATCAAAGTATATCTCATCACCAACGCCACATTTGGATAGAGAGAGTTGGAATGAAACCGCTTTCTCGAGAAAATAATCTTCCAGTATGCTCCCAAGTTCGAAAGCCTCAATGACAATGGATGAGCTAGAAATCAGGAGGGAAGAGGTCTTCTCCCAAAAGAGCACCTCCCAAGTAACAAAATTGGCTTTGAACAACTATGGACCATTTCTCCCCAAGAGATGGAGTATCCCTAGAAGAACTTGTCTTATTACTCGAGTTTCATCTGACGACTGAGTATTTTGCATTGTCATCAATGAACCAAACGTTTCAAACTTCAAACTGTCAGGGAGAAACTCAATAAGATTGAAGAAACTAGGAACCAAAAGAGGAGGTTACACAGGACTACAGGAAGCAATCTAAGTCAGCAAATGGTAAAACAAGGTACGTGTTCTTCATTGGAAATCCTGCGTAACTTGGTCACAATACTTCTCTTGAGTAAACAAAGACATTCCTACGAAGCTGATTCGAACAAATGGGGACCAAACTTATACAGACCACCCTAAACATAAATAAGACTATTTGACAAAAGCTATAAAAGATACAAATTACTCACGCTTTAACAAACTCTTGGCCAATACCATCCAATCCCTAGATACCACGGTGCTTCTTGAAGCTCGTTTTATATATCTCTGAAACAGCCCTGGCAGTATCAGCAACACCAGTTTTGATCTCGGATACCTTTGAGTCCATGTACTCTTTCTGTTTCGATATCGAATCAATAAGTGCAAAGAGTAGTGCAGCACATGCTTGAACCTCCTCTTCACTCTTCTTAACTGCTTCTTGCAAACTAAGCTCTGAAGTTTTCAAAAACTCCGCAGCTTCTTTCTCCACCACTTCCAGATTCAAAGCCTCCGTTTTCACACTCTCTACCATTGTTTTTGCCTCCAAGTCGCATTTCGCAGTCAACTCTTGAGTTTCCTTCTTCACCAACCTCATCTTCTCTTCGAGTTCATTGATCTGCAACTGAATTGACCCAAGAAGACTCTTTTTGGATTCGAACTTTGAAGCCATTTCAGACACCTGGTGTTGTAACGTGATTAATTCCTCCACCTTCTCCGCCGAGCTTTCTTTGATCCCATCGTATAATGAACACAGAGCTGGCTTCACCACAGACTTATAATCCACACCCATCACCTCTGCAGGTGTTTCCCCTCTCTCGTTTACAACAAACTGAATATCAAGCTTCAATCTCCTAAGAGCTTGGTTACAATCAATGGCAAGTGCCTGAATCTGATGAAACTGATTCCTAATCTGTGAATTGAGTTCCCAAGCTTTCTGATCCCAACCATCTCTAGCAGCTTCAGCCTCTGCAACATCTCTTTCAACAGCTTGTAACTCTCTTCTCATCCTCTCAACATCTCTGGCGCTAAAGTTCTGAAGCTCCACATTCTTCTTGAGCTCTTTATTCTCTTCAGAGATTCGCTCTCTCTCTTCTTCCTTAGCTTTGAGCTCCTTATGTTTCTCCTCCACAACTTTCTCCACCGCTTGGGTCCTGTCAGTATACTCCACAACGATGGTTCGGAACTTGTTCACGTCTTTCTCCAGATCGGCTTTAACTTTCTCAAGAGCTTCCTTCTTCGACGGACCTTTCCTCAACGAATCAACTTTCGCCTCTAACTCACCGGAAACTTTCTCAAAACCAGAGATGGTTTCAGCGACGCTAGCCTTCTCCGCTTCCAGTTTACCCAAAAATTCATTTTGCAATTCAGAATCCAAATCATCCTCGAGGCGAATGAAGTGAGAAAAGCTTCGAATGGCGAAGAAATTCATGGAGTTAGCTTCGGGGGCGGAGGTGGAATTGGTAAGTAGATGTTGACGGTAACAAGCGAGCTCAACCAACCAGTGAATAACGGCGAGAATAGTAGGCCAATTGTGAGGCGTATTGGGAGCTTTGAGGCTAGATTTAGTGATCTTCAAAGGACAGTTCTGCGATTTGAGGAAGAAGACGATATCCTCATCCCATTTGTTGGAATCGCATGGGTAATCTAAGGCTTCCAGCAAGAATTTTAGGGTTTCGGAGATGTCTTTGACAGAAGGAGCAGGATTAAAGCGGATTTGGATCGGGCATTTATGAGAAGAGAGGAACGATTTGATGAATCGAATCATCGAAGACTGGTGAGATCTGTCATCGGTGGCTCGGCCGCCTAAACCAATCGATGAAGGACGGCTGCTAGCGAAACTCGCGTCGGAGTCTCTTGAGTTGAAGAGTTGACGTTGTTGCTCGATTGATGGTGGTGGTGGCGGCGGCGCTCCGCCAAAACCCACCGTCGTTCTTCTCTTTCCCCCGGCTCCGCCTCTCATCTCTTCTAACTTTTTCAGATAACCGACACTGACACTGGAACTGGGTCGGAAAATTATAGTAGATCTATAGCAGCAGCAGCGGGATGGAGAATATTTTCAATTTTGTAATTTGAATTTTGGGGAACCTAAATCTAATACTAATAACTTCTTGGAGTTTTGTTCGGGTTTACTCGAACCGGAATACCAACCGGGTCGCAAGTTTTATCTAAACAACCAAATTTGAAAACACTCTCCAGTAGTAGTAATGAAAACAATACTGTATTTATTATTCTGTGTAGGTAATGTAATAAATTTTTAAACAGAGCAACTGGTTTGTGGCTTGAGACACAGTAACTTAATCATACTTGAAATGTATCAAAAGATTGACACATTGTTCACAATCAGCAAAAACAAAATCAAAAACAAAATCTCAACATGTTGTCTGCAAATGTTTTTTTTTTGTTTTTCAAAGAAGAGCAGATTTGAGAGACTTGGTGAGCTTCTCAAGCTCCTTAAGACCTTCCGTAGGCGACTTTGCATCCCCCAATAGCTTCACCATTGCACTGCCTACGATCACTCCATCAGCTCCCCATCCAGCTATCTGTTCACACCACAAAGCCAGTCAGTCAACAGAGAAGCAATATAAGAGAGGCCTTCGGAATCTTTTAAGATTTTTAGAGGACCTGTTTCACATGCTCAGGCTTTGATATTCCAAAACCAACCGCCACTGGCTTGTCTGTGGCCTGCATGGAATTACAAACGGCTTAACAACTTGAGCATTTCTACATCATTTCAAGATAATTGGGAAACAATTAATTAAAAAAACACTGTTATTAGACCTCTTTGATATCCTTCAAGAGCGACTGAACCTTTCCGCTTACAGATGTTCGTGCACCAGTCACTCCAATTGAGCTCACCTGTTAAAACCCAATATCAAGGGCCAATACATTCTCAGAGTACGAAAACACATGTCAACACTTGCAAAGAGAAATATACACTGAGAGGGATCTTACTAGGTAAATAAATCCTTCTGATGCATCAACAATTCGCTTCATTCGCTCTGTTGGTGTGGTTGGTGTAGTGAGTAGGACCTTGATTACAAACATTGAGCAAAATTATGTTTACCAAAAGGCGAAGTTACCGAAAGCTAAATGTAAAAATATATAGAGGTAGATCCAGCAAAACACATGAACAGTCTCAGTGCCTACACTAAAGAATGCTTCTACTGTTTCTGTTGAGGAGACTGGCAAATAAAATCTCCGCAGAGACAAATGATAAGGAGTTTCAGCTAAGAGGAAAGCCCAATTTGAGGAGAAGGGGACAATAAATAAAATATAAACATAGATATAGACACATGAGTTATTGTGATATGCTGCACTGGCATGACTGAGAATCATGCTACCCAAAATGGAACAAGATATATTTGTCCTTCGAAGCATACGCTTACCAGTTCAATGTCGTTGTTGAGGGCTTCTTTCCTCAGCATCTCAGTTTCCTCAAGAGGAACATCCGGAACCACGAGTCCCTGTACACCGACAGCTCTGATGCTGGACATGAACTTCCCCAAACCACGTTTCAGAATCGGGTTGTAATAAGTGAACAACGAAATTGGACAAGATATTTGTGGAACAACCTGCACCAAGTCCAACAATTAGAATACATATATGCGATGGGATGACATCTGACAGTGGACACAAAACACATCTTTGCTTGAGAAACAAATCTAACCTTGTCTAACATCTCAAGGATGTTATCAAGGTTGGTTCCCTTCTCCAACGATCTTGTCGCTGCAGCCTAATTGAATTGAATAGATAATCAAACAAAACAAAACTGAAAATTGCAGGCAATGGAAACATATATAAATCTAATATATAAAGGTTGCATTTTCGATAGGTTGGATTTAAAAACCTGAATAACAGGTCCATCAGCTAAAGGATCAGAATAAGGAACACCCAATTCGATAATGTCAGAGCCACAAGCGTCAAGAACTTTCAATGCTTCAGCAGTAGTAGAGAGATCTGGATCACCAGCTGTGATGTACGGTATGAATGCTACCTACACAAATAAAAGTTATACAACTGATACATCAATTAACTTTATTTCCCAGTAAAACTGTGACGCATCAGACCTCAGCAAACTCAATGCCACTCACTCTGGCAAAAAATTCATAAGCAACACATGACATGCGTACTAGTTTGGTTTTGTGATTGAAGTAGTTGATTCGTAAAATGAACAAATTGGTCAACGATTCCAAACCTTATCCACACTCGTTCTAAGTAAAATCAAAAAGTGATTGATCTTCATATATCCAAATTCCCACTAGAACTAACAGTCAAAAAATTTAAACCCGGAGAGACAAATCTCAAATCTAGTTGGGAGACTAGTTTACTTACTTTGCCTTGTTTTTTGAGCTGAGTGAAAGTATCAGCGAGACCGAGGGTAGGAGAAGAGGTGGAGAGGGAAGCCATGGGAGTCAATCTCTTGAAAGAAAGAGATGCATCCGGAGAAGTAGAAGAATGGCGGAATCCGAATTGGGTTTTCGGGGATTGGAGGAAGAAGACGCCGGATTTGAAAGCAATCGCCATTGGAAAACTTGAAGCTTGTGGGATGCTTCAAATTTGGTTTGGTTGAACAAGTGAGTAGCGTCGTATTGTTATATAAAACTCGGCTCTGACCCACGTTGGGGATATATGGAAGAAAGTGTTAGGTGAATTCCACCAGCCAAGAGTTGTGTGTCAAAGCGCCGTCACTTACATTTTGGAGCTATTTTGACTTTGTCACTTCTTCCGTTTTTTGATTTGTTATCAATTTTGGTCTTCCATTTTATACGACATGTGTTTAACTATTAAACCTTGACTACGATTATTCTTTGATGAAATATAGTGACTTTGAACTTTCAAACTATTTGCATAATATTTTATTCTATGTGTAATATATTTACTACTTAATTTTAGAAAACTGATGAATTACAGGTGAAACATATATAACAATGACGTCAACAAAAGAAAAAAAATTGTGAAGCATACATAGTAAGTAATAACCCTTATGGCGTAAAGAAAAATCGTATACTAAAAAAATTGGAAAACAAAGTTGGTATATAAATAAAAACAATACAGGATGGTTATTATACAGTTTTATTCCAAGTCATTGGAGAACAAAGAAAGATAAAACATGTAAAGTTGAAAAGTCAGGAACAACAGAACAGATGTGATCCAACACAATCAAGATGTACAGAGAGTACAGTATATAAATTGAGAGATGGTAAATTTCAAAATGTGATTCGAGCCTAAATGTAGTAGTAGTAGGATCATATTACTGTATAATGGTACACACTTCTCTCTCAATCTTCCTTCTCTTAACTGCATAATTATCATCTTCTCTTGTCTGCAATATAAAATAAAAATACTCAGTTACAAATCTTTCTTACTTTCTTATTCTACTTCTCTCTCGAAATAAAACTCACCTCTTGGTATAATGAAGAAGGTAGAGCCTGAATCCTCTTTGACGCATCAGCCAAACGTTTCCGTGGCATATGGTTTTCATTAGCCGCAGAGTTCTCAGAAACCTATCACAAATCAAGACACGCTTCTTCAGAATTCCATTTTTCACAAACTAAAAGTTTTTTACTTTTGCATCAAACTGAATCACAAAGTGTTTTCTGTGATCCCAATTTGTATAAAACCAAACAGTAAACCAGATTAGATTGTCCATCCCTACACATCACACAATATGTTCAAGGGATTACCTGTTTTCGGATAGCTCCTGTCAATAGGTCCTGACATCCTGATGCATACACAAGTTCTAACTTTGGACACTGGAGCACCAACCTCTGAGGATGCAAGTTGCTGCATAAGTTCAAGTTCAAGTCCTTGAGCTCTGGGCAGTTAAGGAACAACGCCTGCATCAAAAGGTTGAAACTATGAGAAGATGGGATTAAGGTAGAAGTTGTTTAGAGAGTATTGACGAAAAAACTCACATCTAAACTGGAGCAACCCCACAAACTGAGTTTCTTCAGCCGTTTATGTTTGATAAACATCTTCTGATTGTAGCCTGATGTTTTATGTGGACTTGGATTCTCTTCAATGATCGGATTATCTAAATTGGGATCAGACACAGTCATGCCACAATCCATCAGCTCAAGAAGGGGCAATTGAGCAGTAGCAAATTGAATGCCACCTGCAAAGATATTCATTATATAAGAAATGAGAAACCAAGGAATAAACTCATAATTTTCGTATTATATAACACGTGTGCATGCCAAAGACCAAGAATTTACTTGATGTAATGTTCGGACAAAGAGCAACAAGTAATTTTGAGAGTGTATCAGGTAAGACATCGCAGATCATCCCAAGGCCAGTATCAGTTATGCTGGAACTGAAAAAAAAAAAAGGTCGTCTTAAATATGCGCTTCATGTGAATATCAAACTGAACCACCAGAGATAGAGATAAGATATAATGGACAAGAACAAGACATACCCACTCAGATCAAGCAATTCAAGGTTTGTGTAACTTGAGGAAATAGCAGCTACAGATGCATCTGTGATATCTATACCAAGAACTAGCGAGAGCATTCTCAACATCCTGGACAATAAGGAAACTGACATCAGTCTCTCAAATGAATATACAAGACTTAAGTCCCAGAGAATGGTGAAAATTCTTAAATGTGCATAATGAGGATTTCAACAAAGAAAACCAAGAGTGGAAACATAGATATTAGACAAACCTGAAATTCACAGCAGTAAGAGCAAGTACAACAGTATGTGAAAGCTTCAAAGAGGCTATATGAATGTTCTGCAATCTAGTACAAGTCCTTCCCAAACCATCTACCATTGTTACAAGATCAGTTGAATCATCTTCTAGGCGAGAAAATTCCAGAGATATTTCTGTAAGATTTGGACAATTGAAGATCTGACAAAAACGAGAATAAAATATTTTACGGTTTAGACATACAAATTCACTTCCTGCACAATGGAGAAGGGAAAAAGGGAAACTCAGTTACCATCTTTGAGAGAGAATGAAGATCCGAGAGCCAGAGAGTGGAGAGGCTTGATGAAGAAAGGGAAAATCCTCCTAAGTTGGAACATCCTTCCATCTTAAGGCTTGTAAGTCCACGTTTATTAGCTACAAAGCGACCCAGCTCATCCCTATCGATACAATAAAACATAGGACAAGTAAAGACAGATCCAGAGAAGAACAAACAACTATTTCAAAGTCCATCAACACCATAAATCCCGTTAGAAGCACAATCTAAGAATAGATCACATGCAAAATGACTGCTTACCACAGATGAATGTATAGCAAACAGAACCAACAGTTTTCTACAATCATGACATGATCCCATAAAAATCAAGAAGCCTAATCTCAATCTCGCATAGCAACTCAAAATATCTGGACTCGAACAAGACTATTTACCCAGTAATCCTATTGACAGCTGCACCCGAAGTTGAAATCTCCAAAACCTCCAGGTTAGGACAAGAAAATGCAATACAGGCCAGAGTTGTCGCGTCAAAATCACTGCAGAGATAACAAATTAGACATAAAAAAAAATCCAATCAGAGATATGTATTGTTACAATTAATTGCAATTAGTCCAAGAATCAGAAGCCAACAAATATTTTTTTTGTGTCTCAATCATCGGTAATTATTAAAGAGTTCATTAATCCTTGAGTTAAACTTCATTTTTCAAAATTAGAACTGTGAGATGAATAAAAACTCTCAGATCTAATAGATCTTATGAAAGAAGAATCAATCACCTCTCGATTTTAAGTGAGAGTCTAATAAGTCGAGGACACTTTTGTAATAATGATCCAACGTATCCAATCTGAGCTCTCTCCGGAACCCTAATCCGAAGCTCCTCAGCCGCTTTCCACATCTTCCTCGATGTCTCCCTCCATCCTTTACAAACCCTAGCCGCCATCAGCAAACTCGAAGGCGGGAGCCGCTTAAGCACCTCCCATAAACCCACCGCATGAAACCTCCCGGGCTGAACGATATCTGTATCCAAATGTAGATCCAGATCCGGCGATGCAGCATCCAGATCGGGTTCATCCAGAGAATTACGCGCATCGACGTCATCGAAAGACAAAGCGCGTCGTAAATGAGTGAAAGACTGACGCGAAGACGGCGCCGCAGTCAACGATAAAACGGTAGAACGGGAAGAAGATGCGGCGGCGGAGATGCAGCTGACCGGCTCAGTAGCGATCGGAGTAGTGGGAACATCAGGTGGAGCAGTTAAAAGACAGACATGGCCTTTCTTAGGTTGACCACATCTACCGCAATTGTAACTCCCTCGGTTTTTTCTAACGCGCTGAGATTCAAGCGCGGCTGAGATCGCGGCAGTTGCGGTGGCCGGAGATATATGCGGCTGAGGCTGCATCGTTAGATTAGGGGGAGAGGGAGGGAGAGGGAGGGAGAGGGAGGGAGATGGTGAATTTGGAGTTGGGGAGTGAGATTAGATTGAGATTTGAGATTGGGTGGGAGAGATGAAAAAATAAAAAAAATAAAGAGGAGGGAAGCAACGGCGGGAGATAAAATGGTGTTTTCGCGCGACTGATTTCGAAAGACACCGAAGCCAAATATTATGTTAAAATGTTGAAAATGAAAGACGTAGCCGCTCAGCTAATAATAATACAAAGGAGCGTGAGGTCTAGCTTTGTTAATTACACTTTTACCCTCGGTTTTGGGAATATCTCACGTGGACTCTTTTTTTTTTTTGTAGACGTTGGGATCCACAGTACTTACCCAGTGCCGAAAATAATAAGTTGACTAAAATATTTTGCTAATTTGTAAGGAAAAGATTCTTCCTAGAAAAAAATCAAAAAAAAAAAAAAACAAATTTGTTACTAGTTTTAAAGGCTTAAAGCAAACACAATGAATATTATTAGTAAAGAATCTGGAAATCGTGTCGCGATAAGCTAATAATATAATTATGACATATTTGCTTTATCATAATGTTGAATGGCATGGATGTCCAAATCTTTTTACAAAATCTTGCATTCTATGTAAATTTATTTATTTATTTTAATGGCCATTAATTTTTTTTATAAATATTAGTCACTATTTTTAATAGATATTTATATTTCTTAACAGATTTTGTTATCTAAAGACTAGAATAATGATATTTAATAGGTATATTTTAATATAAATAATAATCACTTAATGTATATATTTCCTTTTAGATATTTTCACTTCTAACTATTAATTAATAAACATACATTTCTGGATTAGAAAAATGTATTTTTGTTTGTTTTGTATGTCAACTATTTGTTTTTAACTTTAAAAGAGATCTTAAATATTTAAGAACATCATTTTTTGTCATCGATCTATAGGTGTCACAATTTTGTATATGGGGAATCTAAAATCTAAAGTGTTATTTATTTATAAACATAAACACAAAAGTCTTTGTTCCAAAAAGAAAAAAAAAAAAGAAAAAAAAACCAACATAAGACACCATCTATATATTGATTATTGATTATTGATTTATAAAGCTCATTTTATTCGCAACGATGCTAACATGAAGTCTTACATGGTGGCTTCAAAGAGACAAGCTAAACACATTACCAAAAATAAAACCCTACAAATTCAAAAAAAAATCTGAAATTGTCTATCTATACAGCCTTCATTACGATAGCACAAGAACTGAAAGCTTCAGTTTTACAACTCTTTCGGACTTGTTACAAGGAATTTGGTCGTGTAGGTCAATCAAATGATCAAATGTATTGCACGATGGCGATCATATCTCCCACGCTG